CCATTTAGAAATGTTTCCTCTCGCCGACCACACGACATGAAGCAAGCTGAGGCATCAGGACGGGCTCCGGATGGTGATCCGTAGTTCGCCATTTCTGTAGTAAAGGGACATGAGGGAGCGCGTCTGGCATGTTTGACAGCGGACTACGTAAGGGGCAACCACCCACACTCAACTCGACTCTTGACAATCGCGGGCAAAGTCCACCAGAATCGAATGACAGTCGGCCACAGTTGGATAGAGAGGCGGGAACGATGCCTGACGCCAGTGGAAAGACAGTGATGGTGATGGGGGGATGGTATGGAAGCTCAGCCGCCGACATGGCACGGTTGACAAGGGACACAAGATAGCGGTTAATCGAGTGGAAGAGCTGCAGCGGACAAAGGAGCTAAAAAGTGATGTGCTAACGCAAGGGCAGGCGCGTGGATGTGAATAGGCGTGATGGAACCGTGCTTAAACGAGTACACTAGAAACACTGGAGAATCGTCTGCCAATCCACCGCCCGATCAGCCACACAGCTGGCAAAAGAGGTGTCAATTTGCCAGCACTGGAAGAAGCAGCAGCCACCCTTTGATGCACAGATGGAAAACCTGCGCACGATTGGACGATGCGAGGTTCTTTTTGGCTGTGGCTTCGGGTTGGATTTACAGGAGCGCATCATTGCTTCTGGCAAAACAAAAAGAGAGCTGGCAAGAAACCAGAAAATAATAATTTTCGACCACGGCCCCCCTGCTAATCGATACCGCATCCGCTGCCGTTGAGTGGGTAGGCCACCTTGACGCTGCTGTGGCTTGCATTGGCGCGATGCCCCGACAACCTGGCACGGTGGGCACCATTTGAGTTGGCCCGGGTCGCTGCCGGTACATGGTGCCTGGTACCTGCACAAGCGTCGATCAGACGAAGCTCATCCCCTTCTCACCTCTCACTCCTCTGCTGCCTTTCTCTCCCCGGCGAGCTGCGCTTTCTCCGATCGGTGCGATCTGTTCCCTTCCCTATCCTTTGGAGTCCTGCTGCTGCCATGCGTCGTTGGCCGACTTTTGACAGGTCGCTGGCATCCGATATAGTCATGATGCTACCGGCATACGTCGTCCTGCACGCCAATCGTCGCCCCGGGCCAACCAGATGAAACCGGCTCTGTTCACATCCTCGCATGGAACCCATTCATCATTAGCCACGGCGTCGAGAATCTCGGGTCGTGTCACCGCACTGATCTAGGGTACCTAGCTGTCAGGCAACGAAGCGGCCTTCACGACGGTCAAGATGCTTCCAGCTTGGGGTAAGGTGAACTGCCTTGATTTCTCTGAGTTCCCATGTAACAGCGTTCAGGTGTTTCCTACAGCATGGCAACGGAATTCGCTGGCCGTCGCACGTAGCCACCGCAACAGTACACTAGGGCTGTCATCGAGTCAGTGTCGTTTCTCCTGCCTGCCGAATGCATACCCAGCCCTCCGGACTCCGTCCAAACCCCAAATTCCCACCAAAATCACGTTAAAATGATCAGACGCGCCGTCATTTACCCAACCGACATTCAGTCCTGGAACGGATCCTCGGTGTCCACAATTACAGACGCTTCCGCAAAATTGCATCCTCTCTTCCCCGGCTTGTCTCTTCGTGCTAGTGTTTCTACCTAGAATGCAGCTAGAAGCGCGATATACTTCCTTCACTCCCTCGGCCCGCCGGCCTGGTATTCCGCAGGATTACGGAGTACAGCAAACATGAGAACTTTATCTCGCTGCACCCACCAGGTTTCCTTGTAGCCCAGCAAGAGGAACCAGTGGCTACTGTCTGTTCCCGCGAGAATCGAGGTCAAAGAGAAAGCCAAGCGACGGCGGCTCGGTGCTCTCCTAGTATTCGTTTCAGTTATGTGGCCTACTTACAAGCCCAGCATCAGGCCTCGCACAACTACGAACTACGCTTGCTTCTTCTCAATTGACGGATAATCTATAACCCGCGTGCTCCTTTTACAGTAGAAGCGCTACACAAGGGATATGCCGCACAACTCAGCTTCACCTCATCCTCCTTAGGGGCGTTATGATTTCGATGACACGTTTTGCATCCGCTGTCCAGTCACGAACAAGACCCCTTGTGTCGCCCCCCGATTGGCTTGATGCTGAGTAAATGCGAGGCCCTGTCCTCGGTCGAGTCTGCTGATGAGCCATGTGGTTGGGAACATCCGCTTCAGCCTCTCACTACGATTGCCCTGACCCTTCAGGTCTTGGTGAAGGCGCCGTCGAAGTCAGTTTGCGCCACTTCGATGTCTCCGATCTGGCACGTCGCACAATCCACTTATACTATTGCACGCCAACGTCCAGCTGCAGGCGGAAGAAAAGTTTTGCAGTAGCGGTGTGATCTTTCCGGAAGACTCATCGCCAAATAATCAGTGTCGGCTGGCAACAAGCAACTTAGAGGACACCATGCAGTCCTGCTGTACGCCGAATACCGTTCCAACTTCAAACAGTCCATCATAGCTCCGGAAACTGATATCGTAACAATGGTCTTCGAAGCGGGCAAAGAAGACCAGCCAATTGATGACACCTTAATCAACGAGCAAAGCCAGCAGGGCTCGTGCATTGATCTGGTGGCTGCTTGGGCCCGGGAGACCCATTTAATGCCTGGCCACCATGTGTCGCTCAGGACACGGCTGCATCCATCACTTTGGTCTCGGAAATTATCTTGTCAGCGTCTCGATCAGGCGTAGCTTCGGTCCAGGTAGGTACAGGGGTCCGCGGTCCTCAGTTGCTCAGTGCCTGCAGCGCCCACTTGCCGCAAGGTCCGCAATGAGTCCACTTCCCGCCAGACGTAACGCGCCATCCAGCGATTATCGACGACAGGCTTCCATGATCGCCTCATAGACTCCAGCTACTTCAGGGAAACTTGTCGTGGATTGAGGGTCTAGCAATCCGTTGGGTCGTTGCCGTCACAAACGAGTTAGTCCTCGCTACCAAAGCATGTCTCCCACCTCGAGGCCTCCGGACCGGGAGCTGGCTCTCCCACACAGCCGGGTCGCAGCACACGCACCCCCGTTGAGCCGCTGTGAAACAGAGTCGATATTCGGTTTCCATATCCGTCTGGATCTGCGCTGTCCGGATTTCGGCAGACCGCAGCAGCTGAAAGATCGAGTTACCCAAATTACACAGTAACTGCATGCCTACTGATGACTCGGTACGACACGGGTATTTATTTGGAATGTCTAATCAGGTATCAGGCGGTCGCTCGCAAAGACGCCTTGGCCTCATGGTACCTCCTGTGACTGGACACGTCGACTCGTGCGGATTGTGACAGCCTTCAGCAATTCAAATGTTCCAGGGCCAGTAACTGCCCGGAAAGGACTTCCATACCGATATGGATACGCGCGAGAAGGTGTCATGATTCGACTCTACCACTGAGCGCTACCGCGTGAAGGCATGGGCCACAGCACGTTTTGGTATGTCGCTGACACTGCCTTGGTTTAGGACCAGCTCCGGGTCAAGGAATGGCGTCAACCATTGTGAAGACATGGCGTCCCTCAACTTTCTTTCACGCGGACAAAGACGCATCTGACAACGATAGAACACTTCACGGCACCGTCCAATAGACTTGCAAGCTCCCTCACATCCTTCAATCCTTCTAGGCCATCTGTGCACGCACTTCTCGATCTCATCCCTCCTCATTCTCGTCAAGGACATCTTTGACAAGCATCCGCCACTTCTGCATGATATACTCTTCTAGCGCAGGAAGCATATTGCCTTCGGACCATGGACAAGGGCCTCCACCTCTTGCCTATCAACAGATCAACCGAGACTACGCCCGTCCATTCCTTCTTCCTATCAATGTCGAATTTCTTGTGGTGCATTGGGTGGCTTTCGCCCATCAGCTCTCTTAACAAGGATGTAACTTGTCCGCCTCGAATTGAGCCATGGGGACATCTCCATCAACCAGCTGTGCGGCGGCGCCGTATCAAATGCTCAATTGAGCAGCAGTATATGAGAGTGGTTTGTCGCATGACCCGTCGAGCTGCCACGCTCGAACGCAGGGCTACTGTGCTGCGTCGTCACAGCTCCTTGCCTTGGACGGATTCTCTGACAAGAATAAGTCCCGGTAACTGGGTCTGCGGCTTCTCGAGGCAGTCGATCGTGCCATGCAGTGGTCCTCGCAGCGTGGAACTTCGCACGCGAATGCTAGGGAGCGCCCATCTCTCACCGAGGCCAGAGGCAGAAGGTTCCCGCCCCTGCACTACAGCGCCATGACAACCTCTCGAGAACAGCTCGGTGTCGTGCAAGGCGGAGTCAACGCCAGGACTAACTTCACACCTTTTCAATAAAAGCCGTGTGTACGACCTGGCTCGAGAACGTCTTTCCCCAAGAGTCTGACTCGATGGCCACAAATAACGCCGGAAGCAGGGATCGAGCGGAAGTGCAAACGTGTGGTACTGTGATAATCAGCCAACGCAGACCCTTGGATGAGAGTGCTGTTCGCAGGGGAACAAGCTCGTCACAGCAGAATCGCCCGCAGATCCCGGTTCTACTTCCTGTTCATGATTCACATACACCCCAATGCTGCCACGATCCTCGAAGGTATTACGTTCGCCGATGTACCTCGTCATCTCCAAAGTCGGTACCGTGTGCGACCATCGGACGACCGGTTTGGCCTCGGACACGAGCAAGCAAGTTAGCAAAGTGGCCGTGAGAGGCGAATGCTACGTCTTCGAAAACGGAAGTGGAGTAAGTACGCAGCCCCGGTCAGTCGATCGGTACTGTAACAGCCTCAGATGAAGGATGTTATCGGTTGGCGGGATCTACACATTCTGTGCACCAAGTTGTACGAGATACTCCGTACTGCAGATGACTTGATTGGTATATACAGTACCTTGGTATGCGCCGATGCTTTGACTCTTATCTAGAATCTATCTCAAGGAAGTGTCGGCGACAGTGTCGAACAGGCCGACTGCATTGTCCTTCTGGATTGCATTGCATCCCAACGCCCGTTCCCGGCCATCCCCTCTCCTCCACGAGCTATATCAAATAATGGGCTCAACAGACACCTCAAACTCAGTCTCAGCCTCAAGCACGAGCGCGACCACCAGGAGTATGAGTACCGCCACCCGCAAAGCCTGCTCGCCCCTCACCGGCGCGCAACGCCTGCGCGAAATGCTCCGCGACCCCTCCAAAGTCGTCGTCTGCCCCGGTGTATTCGACGGCCTGACCGCCCGGTTAGCCCTCGCAGCGGGCTTCGATGCGCTGTACATGGTACGTAGGACGCCATCTCTGGCAAACATCCAGGGGCATGATAACTATGTAATTCGCGCTGGTGCTCGCACTCGCTGTGGCCGTTGGCGTCCACGTCCCTATCTCAACTCGTACCGCATGACTATTTTACTGATCAATGTTCTTACTCAGACCGGCGCAGGTACGTCCATGTCGCGCCTAGGCTGGGCGGACCTGGGCATGGCGACGCTCAACGACATGCGCGCCAACGCCGAGATGATCGCGTCGCTCGACCCATCCGTGCCCGTGATTGCCGACGCGGATACCGGGTACGGGGGGCCCATCATGGTGACTCGGACGGTGACGCAATATGCTCGTGCTGGAGTCGCGGCGCTGCATATCGAGGATCAGGTTAGATTTGGCTTTGCGTTTGCCTTGTACTTGGCCTCATCTTGCCGTTTTGCTTCTGCATTGCCCCTGCACAACTATGCTCTTGGAACCGACTCTGGGTTTGGCATTGAGTCTGGCACTGATTTCAGTACTCGTTCTATTTCACTCCCCCGTTCTGGTTGCAGTCCTGATCCTGGTCAATCCTACACGTACTGGTACAGTAGCATTAGCCCGACTAACGTGCCCCAATCACGCGATTCGTGCGCAGGTGCAAGAAAAACGATGCGGCCACGTCCTCGGCAAACAGATTGTCGAGCGGGACATCTTCTACAGCCGGCTGCGCGTGGCGGTCACCGCCCGCGACAACCTCCGCTCGGACATGCTCATCATCGCGCGCACGGACGCGCGGCAGACGTACGGCTTCGACGAGGCCGTCGCGCGGCTCCAAGAGGCCGTCCGGATCGGCGTCGACGTCGTCTTCCCAGAGGCGCTGCAGACGGAAGCGGAGATGGTCGACATGTGCAAGCGCGTCGGCGCCGACACGCCCGTGCTGCTGAATGTCGTCCCCGGCGGCGTCACGCCTGAGTGTACCGTCGAAGAGGCCCGGCGCATGGGGTTTCGCGTCGTCATCTACCCGGGGTTGTGTATCGGGGCGGTTGTCGAGAGCGTGGCGCGGGAGTTACAGACGCTGCGGACCACGGGGATGAGTTCGTCATGCGGCACGAGCTCGGGCGTGAGCGTGACCATCAAGGACGCGTTCAATCTGTGTGGGCTGCAGGAGTGTATTGACATTGATAGGGAGGCTGGGGGGAAAGCGTACGATACGGTGGGGAGATGAGATGAATATGTATGTACACGAAGAATAGATGACCACCACTCATATCACGTTTAAATGTGCTTTTTTCTTGGTTCTCGCCCGGCCGAAGTGCAGTATCTAAGTTAGACACGCAGCTCGCTCGGACGTATGAACCTGTCTGCACTTGCTTGACTCGGGAACTGAATATCTAGACTGTGTGTTTCTGTCAAGACGCCGTAGACGCGCCAATCACGGACAATTCATCCACCATCTACGCTCTGCGTCCTCGTCCTCGTCCTCGTCCTCGTCCTCGTCCTCGTCTCCGTGACGTGCAGAGTCGAGGTCTGCCGGACCGTGACGGTCGTCCGCGTCACCGAATCCAGGGACAACGTCCTCGTCGTCGGCATCGTGACCAACACGGTGACGGTCCGCTCTGACGACGAGCCACTACTGCCCGCGACGTCTCCTCCTAGCCGATGCCGCGCGATCGTCGACGACGTGATCACCGCTGTTGTCGTGCGGGTTGTCTCAAACGACAGGGTCGTCGTCAAGGTGGACGCACCTACCGTCATGATCGCAGGCTATTGTAAAGAAAACCGTCAGTGTCAGCGTCAGCGTCAACGTCAGCACCACGATGGCATAGAGAGAAGTACAACGGGGTACGTGAGTGAGGTGGGGAATTCGGTAGACTCACCCCTGCAAACGACGCCACGGTGGTGCCCGTGCTTGTCGTCGTCGACGTCACCACGTCCCAGCTCTCGCTGGAAGTCGCGCAATCCCACGCCGTCGAGCCCGGCAGACAATTTTGCACCTGGACATGGTTGGGGATCGCGCCATGCACAAGGTCGTACCAGTGCGCCAAGTAATATACCATTGGAGGACGACCACCGGCGGCGGCGGCGGCATCATCTCCAAGGCCAGGGACAGTCGGTGCGGCGGCAGCTTCCGTTGAGCATGCGTCGAGCCTCTGGCTGGAGAACGTGATCCATTGATCGCAATCGGTGACGGATACTGCAACCATCCCTGCTGGCTTGACGGTGGTGGAACACCTCGTCGTTGTCCGTGCGCTGTACACCGTCTGACATCCATTGCTGTCCAAAATTATGCGTGCTGTTGCTGCTGCTCCCGTCGTTTCGTCGCCAGTGTTGGATGAGATAGGCTCTGGCGAGGCGGAGAATGGCCGCCGCGAAGCCGTCGCAGTCGCTGACAGGAACACTGTCGTACTCCCGTTCGGCAACAAGGCCGTAGCATTGACCTGGATAGGGATATACCTTGTGGTATTGTTCGTCAAGGCACGTGTAGCGTTGGATGACTCTCCCGCGAATGACAACGAGGATACAGGGAGGATGGAGAAGATTGCTGATGAGGCTGGTGTATCAGGGCATACCGTCGCAACGGGCTCCTGGATCACGGTCGTTGGGAAAACATAGGACAATATCGTCGGTGTGACGGATGGTGTTGTGACTATTGCTGTAGCAGGCGCAGGGGATGCCAGCACTCCCAGCCCTTGCACTTGTCGACGTTGCGCAGGGTGTAAATGGTCTTTTCCTTCATGTTTCTTCGACGCTGCCATGGGCGCCGCCAGGGCGACGAGAATTGTCAAGACCTGCATGACTTCTCGGGTACGCTTTTGGGAACCTATTTCTGTGAACAGAAAGTAAACTTGTTGAGACCTCGCCAGCGAAGATGACTGACTCAATATGGGCTTTATTGCACCATGAAGGGCTGGCACAAACCAAAGATTCTGAAAGTGGCGGGGCATTTCTGTGACATGCATTGCTGTTCGAGTCGCGCATCTGTGGAATGCCACTTGAAGCGCGCGGTGGTATGTGCATGTTTCAACCCTCTTCCTCCACGCCCAAGGGAGCCTTTTGGCTTCGAGCTCACTGCACATTCCCCAGAGCCTCGGGCCCGCCTTCTGGGTTGAGCATCTAATTCATCCCTGATCCACGGCTCGACTCACCCCTCTCTGACTGCTGACCCTGACCCTGGTCATCGTGGTATGCGTTACTCATAAACTCAATCTCCGCATCCGTAGCCTGCTGGAACTGCATAGAAGGGTCGCTCATCATCATATCTGGCGGGAAATACTGGTCGTATTGCATCGTCGGATCGAATGCGGCGAAGGCCTGCGAGCTCGTCACATCAGGCATTGTAGTGTACATGGGCGCTGACACCGGTGCAGTCGCATAGAGATTTCCAGGCAAAGGGCCGGTGACTCCGGGGAAGTCTGACATGGAAGCGTCCTGTGTCGGAGGGGCAGGCTTGCCCGGAGGATTTTGCGGTAGACCGTCCACGTCGCGCCCAATCTTCTTCGCCGCCTCCTTGAACAGTGTATTGCACATTGCCCAAGCACGCCTAGCCGAGGGATTGTCCTCTGCCAAGGCATGTAGCCAGCGGATCCCTTTCTTGCACGACTCCAGGATAGCCTCTGCTTCTTCCGGCATGTGGTTCGCTCGGAAAGAAATTTCAAGCATCAGTACAGACGTGGCCTGAACCAGCCAGTGCAAGATATTCCACCAAGGCCCAACACGAATTAGACCAACAGCATTCGGCTCGTCGGGGATAAGCTGTAACATCTCCATTGCAGCCTCGACACATGCCGCCGCAGAGTTGCGGTTGAACTCGAGTGACTTGTTTGACTGTCCGGGAATCTTGCGATCCAGTCTACAGAGGCAAGGTCGGTGGACTGTCATTTTGGTGCTGTAGTAGAAGAAGCCCAAGTACAAGCGGTACTCATAAGACCCACGTTCTCGCTGCTTCCGACGGAATGCGAATGCTGGCGGCAGCTTCCGATACCAATGCTCAAGTCGTTCGTCCAGGTCCTTAACCTTGGCCTGAATTTCTGACCAGGTTCCCTTTATTGAAGCTGGATTGTATAGGCTGTGGAAGATGGCCTGGGTCACTCGAATCAGCTGCACCAAGTGGAGGAAGTAAAGGGAGCCGTTTGGCTGCACGTCTTTCGCCCACTCCAAGTCGCCGGCATGGATACCCGGCATCGAAGGTGAACGGGAGTCAACCTTGGTCTGCGATCTGGAGCGGTCGGTTGAAGGCGTTGACATGACGCTCGGCGTATGGGAATTGGACGATGGCGCGCGATCTCCTTGCTGTCTGACCTTGCTTAGCAATTTTTGGCCTTCTTCCGTCTCAAATTGTTCTTCCTCCAGAGGTACGGGAAGAGGAGTTGTGCAATGGTCGTCCATAACGCAGTTCACTCTGCCGGTCATGTTGCAGAGGCGATGCTCCAGAGCGTAAAGAGCCCACCATAGTCGATAACGGATCTCCTTGAGCGAGTCTTTCAATTCGTTGCTATCGTTGCGCATATTCATACCCAGTGCCCCGGCCTCTCTGATGGCGTACCCGCTCAACATCCATGCCCTGCAGGTGTCAGCTCGATTCTGTGGATGGGCTGGAGGTTTCACTTACCGATTGATCTGGCTATTGCACAGTAGGTACAAAGACATCAAGCTGAGCACCTGAATCATCTGCAAATCCGGATGCTGGAAAATCGTCTCAGAGTTGATGGTCAGGAGTCGTGCTCTGGTGAAGTAGATGAGATGATCTCGCTCATCGCCTTTCCAGTCGGCATTGATCAGGTGCGAATACTTTGCGCCGATGGCGAAGATCAGGTTGATGATGGCGAGCCACTTTTCAGGTGGTCTTTGTACGGTGCCACTGATGACTCTTCGGAACTGACTGGTGAGATTCAGCCGCCCGACAAACGGGAACGAGGAGTGGACTCTTTGCATATAGGCGTTGAAAAGGTGATCAGCGACTTCGGGAGTGGGCAATTCGTAGGTGTCGACTGCGTCGTAGGTGAATATTGACATGTCGTCCATATGATAGCTGGAGTCCTGGATGGTAAAGCCTGCGTCTGCCTCGGAAAGTGGAATTTGCGTATCACCGACTGGACGTTTGGAGGTCAGCGAGGCTGCCGACATGCCGACGAGTCTCTTCTGCTTCGCATTACCTTGTTGGTCCTGCTGCACATCGCCGTACTTGTTCTGTTCCCTCAGGCGTTGAAGCCAGGTGATCTCCGAGTTCTTTCCCATGAAGCCAGTGTGCCTCGCCTGCTCGCGCGTGAAGTCCTCATCGGTTCTATCAAGAGCACCTGTCGAACCAGCTCCGGCTGAAGCTTCTGATTCAGCACCAGACTCTTCCTCTTCACCATCAACATCGAGAGTCGGGACTGATGCTGTCTCCGTGGCGCCTTCTGTAGCAGTGTCGTCGGCGTCATAACTTGTCTCCTGTCACTAGTCAGTATCAGACCCAGAATAAGGGTGGCGAAGAGTTGGTCTACCTTGTCCAGCGCCGCTCGGATTATATGTGCGTCGGCTTCGTCTACCTTGGGTATCAGTTCTTTCAACAACTTCTCGTAGTCTGCCACCTTTTCCGTCAGGGTACCAAACTGCCTGGGGGCGGTTAGCATTGGACGTCCCACCCTCGACAGATCATCTCACTTTTTGACCCGATCTCGTTTGCCATCGGCATAGAAGCATGTGATTTTGAAATCCTGACAGTGCCGACACACAGGTCTCTCGCCGCTGCATTTTGTCTTCCGGTGGCGACAGGGCTCACATGCGTGGTTGACACGGTGTCGTCCTCCTGCCCGCGCAGCATCTTCACCTGAGGCATCGATGGATCTTTTCAGTCTCGGAATCGCGACCTTGGCCGGTTTCTGGGACGATTCGCCGCCACCGCCGCCCCCGCCACCGGGCGCAGAGCGGGGAGATTGAGGAACGCGAAAGAGGGGCGTCTGCGCGGGTGAATGAGGTGTGCGTGAGGTTGACGAGGATGATTGGCGATGAGAGAGGTCGGAGGTGGGGTTTGGCGTCTCTATCGAGAGCACGGGGGCCTGTGCTGGGGTGTGCGGGAAAGATAGCCTTGACGAAGGCTCACCCGGCGCACTCGTCGGTGGACGAGGAGGATCTCCCCGACGCTGCTGTCTCGGGTCGGACATGATGAGGCAGAGATATCTAGGAGTGATCCGAGCGGCGACGGATGGACAATTGGATCAACCTCGAGTAAGCTTCGGAAGGCGCGCAGAGAAGGCGCGAGTGCATTGAAGACACGACTAAGGCTGGGCTGAGGTCGAAGTGAGGTCGAGGTGTGCAACAGCAGCGCAGTGAATCTCGAGCCTCGGAGCCAATATGCATCGCGCTGTCGATTTCCCCTGCTCGGAATCAGAACTAAGCGCGCTGCCAAATCCCAAAGTCGAGAATGGAGGGGAAAGAATATCCCTGCTTTTTCTGGTACGACGAGCACGCACACAATGCAAAGAAGCAGGGTGGAAGTACGATCCGGGTGGCAGACCGATAGGCACCCAATGACACACCCTCGGGCACGGGTCTCTGTGGATCTGCGAAGGCGGATGCTACCAACTACCTAGTTGAGCACAGCATCAACACCGAGAAATGATGATTTTCTCTGCGAAGAAGGGCTCGACTGAGACGAGTCCACTAGCAGCTCGACTGTCTGAAGCACAACATGTGCGCCGCAGCTTGGCCTGCAAACGGAGGAATTACCCGCTCTCGCCACTGGCAGATCCAGCTTGTTTAAGGCCGTGTCATGCAAGAATTACATCATCTTGCACCTGTCCATGCGCTGCGGGTTCAACGGTGGTAATGCTGAAGTGGCTGAGAGGTGCGAGTACCCGTGGGTGAGAGATTTTCCAGGGTCGTGTGAACGAGTGCCGAGCATGGCGTGAAACAACCTGAGCTATGCAGCGAAATCGACCTTCGCCGGCGACAATGATGACGATACAAGCAGAGTCGGCAAGCGCCGGTCTGTGGTCAATCAAATTCGACCTGGGGAGCCCAGCAGGAACAAAGGGAAATCGAGCGACACCGCTGTCGGGACTTGCCGAGGACTGCGCGTCAAGCCTCGCCCGAATGAGCCAGCGACGTTTGTGGCTGCTGAGCCCCCATGCCAGGGCGCTGAGATCTGAGTATTCGTACAAGCAGCAGGCTGAAGGGAGCCGTGGAAATAGACGTCGCCCTATTCCTGTCGCTGGCGTTTCGCTCCATGTTGGTTCCAATCCCCTTGCCCGCCGAAGTTCGATCCTTGTCCTTGGTTGAACATGCCGGGGTTGAACTGATTGCCCTGAAAACCTGCTACAAAGTGTCAACGTCCACGGTCTTGATTTTACAAGGAAGGTCGAACGTACCGCCCATGCCCATTCCAGCCATCATAGGGTTCATACCCATGTTGCCCATGCCCATCCCGCCTGTCATGCCCATAAAGGTGTTCATCCCACCTCGACCTCCACGCATCCCACCCATATTGCCCCGCATGTTGTTATTCAACATACCACCTCTGTTGTTGAAGCCGCCGTAGTTGTTTCCCATCCCCATGTTGCCTTGAAAGCCCATGTTCTGGTTGTTGTAGCCGCCCATGGGAGGCGAGAAGTTGCGGTTGTAATGGTTGTTCTGGTTGTAGCCTCCACGATTGAAGTTGCCCCCTCGGCCGCCGCGAAAACCTTGATTATTCATGCCATAGTCTCCACGAGGTCCGGAGTTGAAGCTCCCACCTCTGGCAGGTCGCTCGTCTCGGGCCCGCGTTGGAGCATCCTTTGGCAAGGTCTTGAAAGGATTCTGGGTTGCACTGGTGAAGGCAACGGTGTGCTTGCGAGAGCTTGGCTGATTGCCGGTCAAGGACTCGATCTTATGCTTGGCGGCTGTGGCTGCTTGCGGGGAGGCGAACTCTAGATACACCTGGCTATAAAGCATGGTCAGCAGGACTTTATGGAAAAAGGGATGAACTGGCCACCAACCCCTTGCTCTTGCCGTTCACCTTGTGTTCGCTAAACGTTAGGTCCTTCAACTCGTCTTCGGCCCCGGCATCATTGACCCAGCCACGGATGTCGTCCTCGGTGGTCCACCAGTGCAAATCGGAGATCATCAACGCGTTGGTCGCGCCGTGGTCAATAGGTCTCTCGTCCGAGGTCTCCTTGCGTTTGACGCCCTGGTGCGGAACAGCTCGCTTGGAAGGGATAGGATCGGAATTCTTGGTCTTGTCATCCTCGACTTTGAGCTGAGGCTGTGAAGTGACAGAGGATGACGGTGGCGGTGGTGGTTCTTTCTCGGGCTCAGTCTTGCCTTGAGACTCCTTGGGAGGAGGCGCATCGTCTTCCGTGTCTATATTGAATTGAAGGTCGTCGTCATCACCCGCCTTGTAGTCCACTGTCCCGTCGGCACCGATGTCGCCTTCTCCATCGCCATAGATGTCAATGTCAAAGTTGTCTTCGTCTGCAGAAGCCATTGTGGCGGAGAGTTAGGAGCGGGTCTGTGAATAGGTGTCGATTGTCTGTCTGCCAAAGATCTATGCACAAGAAGGTGAAGTCAATGGACAGGACATGAAAACCAGGACAGTTCTGCATCATACATGCCAGAATTAGCCACAGATACATGTGAGAGACAGGGTGTAGATGCCAGAGATGCCAGGTCCACTCGTCTTTTGTAGGGCCGAAACACCAGCTCACCACACCCGCACAAGACAGCCGTGACCTGGATACCAGAGGAATTCTTCCAACAAAACATACGTACAGGACTGGATATCACGGCTCGCACTTCATCGGCTCGTTCAACATGTGTTCTCTAGCATCATAATACACGAAGCAGGCCAGCTGTCTTCCCAAGGCTGGTGATACAATTCTTCTGCCCGTGTCAACACCGGTAAAGAAAGGAAGTAGAATTAAAAATGAAGAACAAGCTCCCTCGTCCCAATCCGCGGCTGAATGAGCTGAGAAGGCTGCAGGTTCGGAGTGGAGGTCAGTGAGGTGGAGGTCCGAGGAGAGGTGTCTGTCAAGTGCAAGTAAGGTTGGAATCGGAGGGTCGGTACAGGCGATAGTCGTGGAACATAGCCTGCGCAAGGAGAGTACTGGACAAGAACTTGACACAGGCGGAATGGTGACTGTACAAGACAAAATCGCAGACCATTCGTGGTGCAGGGGAGGCTGAGATGAAGTCGCAGCTTGGGCTCCGCCAAGGCATCTCGAAAAGGAGCGCAGATGCCACCTAACCTACTGTGTAGACTTCGAGTTGACCACCATTCCTTTATCCTGCGACCTCCTGCCACTGAACCACGCGATCTCAAGCCGACACAGAAAAGCAACACATTCAAGATGTCTGACTTGGTGCAAGAGATTGCCGACGTGCCCAGGGAATTCTTCAAGGAGGGGACTCAGTTCATTCACAGATGCACAAAGCGTACGTTTGCTCCAGTCGCAAGGTTGACGAGGCAAAGGATATCCCAGCAACTGCTCAGTCCTTGTTCCGACTACTCAAAAGAAGTGCCGCTGACGCAGACATCGACAGCCGACCGAAGAGAGTTCATCAAGATTTCACAGGCCGTAGGAATGGGTTTCCTGATCATGGGCGCAATCGGATACTTCATCAAGCTGAGTGAGTGGCATGCCTTCATCGGGCCTCGAGCAGAACATTCAGCATGGACCATACTGATACCCACCACCCTGTCTGCAGTACATATACCGGTGAACAACGTTTTAGTGGGATGATACTGGATGGCGGTATGAAGTGAGAGCAGGCGTGATCACCGGTCGAGGCGCGATGGCCGCCATCACTCCGTTTCCTACGAGATTAATCTTGCTCGAATCCCCACCCACTATCAGCGAACATCACAATTTGTATTACTATACCTGGGCAGCGACAGCGATGACTTCCAAGAAGGATGCGCAAAAGTAATGGACACATTGTGATACCCAGTTTCAACAATGGCATAGAAACCAGTGCTACGTCGCCAGAAGCACCCTCCTCGCGTCCCAAGTCACAGAATCATACCCCGGCAGGCCAGGAGAGGACTATGCTGATGTCGCCCAACATAATTCTCACGAAGTCTTCAGGGTTCTCGTGTCTCAACTCCAATCACTTGTTCGCCCTTTTCAAACACAGAAAGAGACTACGGAACGCTTCCCAGCCAGTGTCTTGCAAAACGCTTGCATCTTCATCAGATTTCCTCGAATACTATGTCTTTCCTCTCTGCCCCAATATCCCGAGGATTGTGGCCTCAACTTTGTGTCCAATCTCCTCCCCTGTGCTGCTCAAGCTGGCTTCATGCTATAGGCATGTCTTTTTTCGTTATGTAGATCTTCGCCTCGTTATCATCATCATGTCACATCCGTGGCGTCCATCATCGCGTGGCAGGACCAGCTCCATCTTCTTCCTCAACATCATTCTCAGGCCAAGCCCCCCTTCTCAAACTCAGCCGCCTTCTCAACCGCCTTGCTACGTCGACGACCCCCAGGTTCCATGATTGTCACCAAATGCTCCCTCCACCATCACCTTCCTCTTCGCCCAACCGAGCAGGTCTCACAATGCTACTCCTCAATCCCCTTCCGCCAGCACGACTTCGCGTGTCTGTAGGTCCACTTCTACCGCCGCGTTCGACGTTCCTCGCTCGGCGCATCGTGCTGTTGAAATCCTCGCGGGGGTCGAGGCGCGCGTTATAGTTTGAAGACATGGCGGGCAAAGCTTCATCATCTTCGGCGCCGTCATTCCATGAATGTAGGGAGACCGTGCCGGTGGACATTCCCCAGCCGTTCCAGGACGTTGCTATTCCCCAAGTGTTAGTGTTCAAGGCCCATATAGCATACCACGGATGAATGTTTCTGGGAGAAGAGCGTGTAACTTACCAGCCAACACGGGCGCGGTAGGACTCCAACTCGCATCCCGGACACAAGTCTTCCATGCCGCATCATGATGCCCATGCAACTCATAGCCATACCCTCCCATCTCGGATCCGTCGTGCCTGGGTCTTGTGTATTTCGTCGCTGCGTAGACGTCGATTTTCTGTCTCAACGTGCCGTCTAAATTCCAGATGTACACGTTACCATCCTCGCTGCCACTGTACACATACCGCGAATTGCTTGAGCCCGGCGGCGAGAAGTGGCATCGTATCAGCGTCTTCAGCACGCTGTGTCCCCGAAACGTAACGACCGAGCAATCCTTGGGGTTCGGCACGTAATCATCCAGGTCATACGTGCTGAAGCGATAGTCGAAGTTCGTCGTGTAACTGTGTAGATTGATGTGCGAGAACTCATTCGGGGAGATCATCTTCCTCAGGTCCCAGAGTTTCATCATCTGATCTTTACCGTTCGACAAGACGTACCGGCCATCGCCTTTGGAATCCACGTACGTGAGACCTTCGGTGTGTCCGACGAAGATCCCTGCGGGCCGGCCATCGGCCATCGATCGTCTGTCCCACACCCGCAGAGTCTGATCATCACTTCCGGAGTACAGGATGTGCGGCGACATCTTGTCACCAAAGCACACGGCATTCACATCATCGTCATGGTTGGCCAGCTGGACTGTGCTCTGCCGTCTCTCCAGATCGTACACCACGACGGAATGATCAGACGTGCCGGCTACAATCTCACGCCCGTCACCACTAAACCGTAGGGACCAGATCCCGAAGCCGTGACGGCCCATGTATCCGTACGTCTGCCGCCCCGTGTTACTTCCGGGGGCGAAGTTCGTGAAATCTAACAATGTGTTCTCTGAGTGATCTGTCGGATCCGTGGGCGCTAGACAGACCGTATGCCGAATGCTCGAGTACGCAAGCCACTTGTTGTCGGGACTCAGCGTCGCGTCGGTGATTGTCCACTGCCCAAAAGGATAGTCTACCGTCTTGTAGTATTTCCACTCGTAGGGATTGGAAGTGTCGTACATCCTGACCTTGAAATTTTGGGTGCAGGAGAAGAAAAAGTTACCATCGTCGGAGAATTGCCCGCTGTAAGCCCGTGAGTCGTAGTGAATGATTTTATCTGCCGTCGTCGAGTCGGGGACCTGGTCCTGTGCCATCAGATTGTTTTGTCGCTTCATCGTAGAGCGGGCTTCCAGTCCCAATCTTCGCCAGAGAAGACGTTCGGACACGTTACGGCGCCGTTTTCGTCGAATGTCGAGGTATGAGTCTCTGCAGCCAAAGGTGCCAAGGTTCATCAGCGCTCTACCGGCGTCAGAGGGGACTTTCGGGAAGCGGTCGCCCTGCGGTTTTGGGCGTCGGGCGCGGCGACGGCGGGCGCCGTACAGGTAGTCCTCGTCGTCATCGTCGTCGTCGGCGAAGAGATCCCGGCCGTTAGGACCGAGAAGACGGTAGCGGCTGAGAATGAGTTGGCGGAGAGGCGCGCTGGCACTTAGGAGGCCGCGAATGTCGTTGGCCGTTACTGTTGAAGCCCAACCGGTAAGCAGGATAAGTCAGATCTGGAGGGGCGGTGAATGGTGGAACATAAACACAAACCTTGTGCAGCAGCTCGCGTTGCCGTTGCAGTGGCATTCTCTCCGGTTTCGGTCTGGTTGTCTTCCTCATCATCACCGCCGTCATCGTCCTCTCCTTCGAATATTATTTCTATGCCATTGAGGGTTTCTTGGGCGTCTGCGACATGTCAGAAACGAGCTGCCCTGGGTTGTGACCCGAATGTACCCGTAAAATCAGGATCGCTGTCTTCTTGTTGTGAGCCAGTGGCATCTGTACTTTGTTCCTCGGTGGGATGGTAACTTTCGACGTCATCATCCTCGTCCTCATCTCCGGTAAAGATGTCGAGAATACTAGCGGGTGGTGGACTTAAGCCCTCGCGAGGATCTGGAGATGTCGACATGGTGATTATAGGGTAGGAATGAGCATGGACTGAGGTTAGACAGGCTGCGGTTGCAGCTGCGGCTGGATAGTGATGAGGTATCGATTTGAGGTCGGATCTGGTGGATGTAGGCTTATCTCCGTGCCGGCAGCAATGCAATGAGGAGCTTGGTTGGAGGTGCTTCCCTCCTCTGTTGGATCATGTCACAGACAGACGACGACTTCTCTCAAGCCGAAATGTATCAACTCGTGACTGGTCTGGCTGATGTGACCATCTCTGATCTAAAAATCACAAGAGGAAGATGTGACATGGATAAGGGCCTCACAGCCGCTGATGCTGCGGGACAGATGCGCCTCCATGGTGACCCGCGCTTCCAGTCACCCACCGGTGATTGCGTGATCCAGAGGACTGATGTGTCGGCCACATTGCTCGACTCGCTCCGCAGCGGGCTTCTGAAAGGCTTGACCTTCCTTGTGCATGACACCAGAGCCAGCTTCTTTTGATCATCACCAATGCGTAGCCGAAGTCGCTTACTGCTGTCTTGGGGATACCGCAAGCGAACAGCACTTCGCATATACCTCGAACAAGCCTTCGATGTCTCCCCACGGATTCAGCACCTATATATACCCCACCACCAAGTCTTAGGTATCATGAAACTAGTGACTGCAGCTTCTTGTCCAACTAACTCGTCTGGCGTGTCCTGCAACATCTTCGGGCACCATAGAAGGTATGGAATTTCTGGACGTTGATGCACGAACTTTGGCCAACCGTCTGCATAACCGGAGAGTTCGACAAGTCGACACGGTCTGATGGGGCCGCGAAACTTGGCGCCTTTGCTGACAGAATAGTTTGACATAGTGCAGAATCAGCTCTTCCTTTGCGAAGTCGGTTGCAGTGTTGGGCAATTGGGGAGTTGTCCATTGCGGAATCTGGTCGATTCTAATACCATGACCAGACGTGATGGTGTCCCTGAAATGAACGGGCAACCTCGATATCATGGGTAAGGCTGTCCCGTCACTTACTGTCGACAGACCGCATTAGCTCTCTGGGGCCTTTGCCGGCCGATCTTGCCATTCTCCTTCCGAACTCCTGCAGCTCCATTGCGCTTGATCTTTGCCGAAGTTCTTTCCCGGCCGCGATACTAGATCGGTTGGTTAGGAGCAATGAAAGGAGCGTGAGTTGAGAGCCCTGCCTTGTCGGTTGGCAAAGGGATAAATCTTGTGCACGAGATGCAGATTTCATTGAGTGGTGCCAGGGATATCTTAGAACATTGTCGGGCATTTGAATGGGTCCGACTGATATTCATTTCCTCTCGTCAACAGGGATCAAGCTGCTCCACCCAGAGTGAAGATGTGAGTAGACAAGCTCGCCGGATATGGTGCAGTCAGTTGGGTAACAGAACTGCAAAGCTTATACATCCATGGATTGCACGAAGGAAAGGCCATGAGCAACGTCCCATCTCCCATTGCAGGGGCACTGATCTTGGAAGGCGACCATTAGCGGAGGTTATCCAAGGCCATATGTAGAGTGAAGGAGAACAGAAGCTCAGAACACACTAAGAGGCAAGAGAGGCGGTGAATTTTTTGGTGCTTGTGAGGCTATACCTGGCTCTCCAGTCTCGACTCCATTGACTGCGAGCCGGTCGAGCATTCGACATCTTACAAGCACTCTCCTACTGGTATGTTCACCGTCGTGTATCTTGCAGAATCCCGTCGTCCGCACCTTTCAGAACGCCAGTGTACGGGGTTGCCATTCAACCTGTGAGAAGTGTCCTCATGACCGTGGCCCCTGATTGCCTCCGTCCATGATCTCCAATGTTGCGGACTCGACTCTTGGTATATCCAATGTCTCCTGCGGCCGGAAGTCGAGTGAGGCTCTGCGTACGTCAAGGTCTGACATACACCAAAGGTCTCGACAGAAAGGCGGACTCCAGGTATGTTGCTCCTGCTGAGCTACCTTGCCAGGTGTTGTGTACTCATGTTTACCTTGACTTCCTCCTGGCACACCACAGCCTCCTAACGGTTGATCGCAGTCAGCCTCACAGAAGTCATCCAACGCGTTCATGAAACTCTTGTTGTCAAAGTCTCTCTCTGCCAGTTGTTCAACCGCCCAATCCACCATTTCTCGCCTCTGGGATTGTGTTGGCAGGTCTTTACACTTTGGCCACCAATGGTATTGCCCCCAGGTGAACTTGGCGAGATCGTCGCGGATTTCACCGGCGAGGTAGGGCGTGGTGCGTTCACACAGCTCCAGATATTTGAGGAAGTAGTCACTGTGAAAGCGTCGAAGGTCAGTGTATCGGGAGTGCACCGCCCGTCTCCGCACCTCAATGTTTAGCGCCTTCATGCGTCCGAAGCTGCCAAAATATCTGCAGAACCGTCTGATGTAGTGCCGGATCAGACGGAGCTGTTGTACTTTGGTGGCTCTACTGGGAGAGCGACGGGGCCTGGATCTGACCGTCGTCGACGATTTCACTTTGGGCCGGGCCTTCGAGGGTGCCGCCGATTCAGCCTCAACAGTTGCTATAAGGGGTCAGTCGCTGCTGATATGACCTCCTCGGGAAACCGACTTTGGTCGATGACACTCTCGCTGGGAGGTGTAGACTCTTGCTTCTCGGTGCTGTCAACCATGGCTGTCGCTGACCTGGTAGATCTGGATTGTCAAGCTTCTCATGACCTTGAAAGACAAGATAATCAAATCACGAAACTCAGTGACAGGGCTTTCGAATAACAAGATAACGGACTTCTCTCAGTGAGAGACAGGTGGAATGAAACACGGAAGGGGCAACGTATACGGAAGAGGGGCTATGAGAATGCAGAGCGCGATGAGTGAATAAAAGCGACCTTCACCAGTGTATCGCAGTCATGCTCTTCGACTGCCGCTCGGTCAAGTCATGATTGTCAACTGACAGTGAAGTTGCTGCCCTTGCCCTTGTGATCGTCGACACGCGGCCTTGTGCTGCTCCCTCGAGCGATGGCTCCCGTCCTGCCGGCACTCGCCTGTTCCATCTTCAGCGGTAGGGAGGATGAGTGCTGGCATCTTCGTGTGCTTGCATGTTAAGCGACTTCCTGGGGATCTCAGCCTCGATGCACCTCACTTGAGTCAAATGACACTGTTGTCGTTTAACCGACGCACGGGTTCGCAGGTCTTGGCCTCGCATTCTCGAACGCTGCCTCCGGCTCCTGGTCTTTCTCCTTCGTTTTAGTCCAACAGCAGCAGATACGGTGGTAGGAGCGAGAGGGTGCAGCAACAGATTCGAGAAACAAAAGAATTGCACATATTGATAAGGGACTTGTGTGCGAGGCAGACGTTGAGAAAGATGGCGCAGGACGATGTTGGACGACAAGCGACCCGGCCAGGCTGTAGCCCAGAGCTCGAAGATCTTTTGACTAGACATCCAGGGGTTGACGCGAGATCTGCACTTACCGGCCTCGCCTTGTGTGCTTCATTCTCCAAGCCGAAAATCATGCTCCAAACCCGACGAGGAGCCCCTGATACGTTTGCCCATTCCCAATAGACAGTGCCAACACGAAGTCCCGCCAGCGCACCCGACGCCATACACATCTCGTTCAGTCATTAACGGCCGGTTTCTCCAAGCAATGATATCCGAAACCAGCTCTTGATTCTCCACGGTGAGGTTGCGGAGTTCTCCTAACTTATGAGTCTAAGGTACATGTTGATGGCGCATCCGTCCACCCCGTCAGACGGTTCGCAATGTCGCTCGCGTAGCAGTGTGTTGCTGAGCCCTTCTCGAGGTCACCCGACGGATCGATTTCGCCGGAGTTGTAGAGTCGTGCGGCGCGATAGTACGCTTGTGCGTACTCGACCCCATCGACTGTTGCCTGGGCGTTGATATCAAGGGCGTACCCGTGGCCGCCATCCGCTGTGCCGGCAACTGCAACAAGGGGCGATCAGCAAAACACAATACCGAGCGGTAAATTCTAGGTGAAGGCGGCTTCACTTACCTCCATCCTGGAGCATGCCAAGAATCTGTGCCTTGGGACACGGATTCTGTACCTTCCCATCATCATTACAGGTATGATTGCCTCTGAACGACTGCAGAATGCCCGGATTTCGCACGGTGCCGTCTGGCGAGACTGATGTCTTGGCTCTCACACACCCTTTCGTCTCCTGCAGGACTGCGGCCAGGATGAATCGATGGTCCACCCTCGTCTGTTGTGAAACTAGCTTGATTGAATCGTAGAGGTCCTGAATCTCCAGAGAGGTCATGTTGGGTACGTCGTAAAGCCTGTTGCAGCTTCGGGATATTATGTTCTGGTTTGCGACCCACATGTCGTTGAAAGATATCCATGAGAGGTCTGACGGCCATCCTGCTTTCGACGAGCCGTCACCCGTGTATTGAATGTAGTTGTTCCGTCCACCTGTTTATGCCCCTCGTCAGCTACGACTGCCTGTTTCTCCGAGAGGCCTGTTCTCCATACCGTCGTAGTCATTCCAAAAGCCGTCAGTGCCGAGTTTCCCTTGTACAACATCATTTTCGCGTTTTGTAAGAGGACTAGCGAGCGTAGAGGCTATCAGAAGGAGTGCGAGGAGGACCTTGCAAAAATGTCAGCCTTTCGGTCTGCTGCTATCCCGGAGGGTCAATTGAAGTGAACTTACTAGCCGCGATTGAGCCATTGTGCAAATGGTCAGGTCCACTCAGAGTCCCTCAAGCGAAAGCACGAATAAAAGTATGCAAGCACGGGGAGACAGGATCTGCAATGCAGTAAGGACTAATAGATAGGCGCGAGAACAGTACACAGCAGGGGACAACGAAAAGATGAAGGAATCGAAATCGTTCTTACATATCAAGTCCACCCTGGGAAGTGGAGTCCAAGGAGCCTCTGATCGGATACACAGCGGCAACGCATAGCATAATTGGCAGAAGAGGCCTCTTCTGGTGGCATTGCCAGGCCGTCTGGCAACATATCTGACCTTTAGAGTGTTTCAGACCGGTATCCGCAATGTAAGAGATCCACAATGCATATCCATCGAAAGGACGGCCTTGATAATGGGGATGATCAGGGTATGCCGCCACCACGGGGCCTGAGGCAGCTCGAGATACCTACTAGGTAGCAGAGGATGAAGCGGACGTGCTGTTAGTTAGAGCCTTCGGTGGCCTGATTCATTGCCAGAATCCTTCCAAAAGACTGGTACTCCATTTCGGTAGAGGCTTGGGTGGCCGAGTACTGATTGCGGCAGATTTTTGGGGGACCAGAAACTTTTCATGCAGAGAATGCTGAGCCACGGCAACAGCCACACCATTTTCTCGGAGTTTTGGCGCTTCCGTTAACTGTCGTGCGTAAAGAGAAAATCCAATCGCAAAGGCGCACGGTGGCGGTAATTGATCCATCTCAAGTCCACTCATGCGGCCCGCGTTCGACGAATCCCTGCACAGGCGCCACGACAGCGCGATCTGTACACAGTACTGTGTACTCTTGCTCGTCTGACTTAATTTACGTAGAACTGTGGACTGGGTGCTCTCAATGATTCAGGTACTTCATCGAGTGTGAGTGATTGGCTAGCTGTCTAACGCGGCAGGGAATACGGAGTACTCATATCATCATGCTGAAGAAAGGAAATGGTCAAGTCTTGCTTTTCTATGCACTTGGTACGTAGTGGAATTTGCCTCCCGCCTATGCAGGTCCCAACCCTACAGGCCAACCGGGTTAGTGGCGATGGTCGCTCCATGCCAGGTACAAAGGACAAGACTGAGCTACCAATGCTGGATACTTACTGGGTAGGTACATATGTAAAAAAGGCACAACCTCACCAGGTACCTGGCTTCCAGTCCAGTGAGACGTAGGATTTCGCTGTTCGGCAGCCTCGTACTGCACTCTCCCTCAATACTGTTTCTGCTATCTGATGCCTGCTCCTAGAGAACATACGTCGAGGTGTAGTGATATTCCATCACACCAACTAGTGCTCTTGTAAAGCAGGCAGACAGCTATTTCTCGCACTTTGTCATGTCACATTCGTCAAATCTCATCAATCTTGCGGGCACATTAGCAGCAGCATCATCACTTTGCTGCAGTCTTTTGTGGCCACGACCATCTTTCTGATGTTCTTCGGTTCCCGTCAAATCCACTCGCCGCCACCTGGTGCGGTCCCTCGTGCCGGTCCACCTGAAACGGCTGATAGTGCCTTGGCTGACCCAATACTCTTCAGGACGATGCTGGCCTGGTGGCCCTTGAACCCATCGACTTCAATGCCAAACACATCATCGCTAGATCTCCCAATCTGGATAACAGGGATAGATCTGCCCGGGGCGCTGAGGTCCACGACTTGGGCAGAGGACTCCCGCTTTGTTCCACGTCGAGGGCCGGTATCTGATATTGAACGTTTCATAATAGAGGGCGGGTACATCGACCTGTCAAGGTGTGCGGTGTGCAAGTCCCACGCGTCGATCTTGGTCTTCAGGTAATCAGTCGATGCTGAATGTTTGTGAGAGAACCCACTTTGGCGCTCGGATGGCTGATCCTTAACCCATCCAGGACAAATTCGGTGGTCTGGGGAGCCTTTCACAGGGAGATCTATTGCTTCCATGAAACTAAGAGCTCGTGCATCGCGGCTGTATACGCTTGACGCCCCTTGGCTGCATTGGCTTGTCGGACCAAGAATTGGCTTGAAGATCGTTGAAAGCGAGGATGAAGAGTAACGGCGGGAAAGCTGTGCGCTGGGTCGTAACTTGGACCAGGATACAAGCTTTAGCCGACCTGCATTCGATCGTTTCTTCAATACTTTTGACTGAGGAGACTTCTTAGTAGCTCGATGAGCACGTCTGCTTGGTGTAGCAAATGGGAAGGCAGTGAGCATCTCAGAACTCGGGAGAATGACCGAGCTAGGTGTTCTTCTGTGTGCATGAGAGGGCACCGCCATAAAGGGAGGTGCAAGGTTTGGCTTTGAGGGTGTTGAAGAGAGCGGTTTCTTTTCGGTAGAGTACTCTGGCGAGGTGGGAGGTGTCGAGGACAGCTCAGGGGTCGTAAAAGGGTTGCTTGCAGGCGTATAGAGACGATTTGATGACAATGAACTCTCGTTGTTGATATCGCTTGCTGCATTGTCGAACCGATTTCGAATCTCGGCCACAGGCGTCTTGGGTCGTGTCCGCGTTCCCATTCTCTCCAGTCCTCCCTGCTTCTGATTGTTCTTGGGTAGTCCCACCTCGCCATTGTTTGTGGGCTGCAGTCCCAGCTCTTGGACAGTATGTTGCTGTTCTGCAGCTGGTGCTTCGTCCACGGAAATGCAAGACTCTCCACTCATAGCTTGAGTAGACTCCACAATTCGAACCTGAATACCCATCAGGCCCGCCTCGATCGCGTTGGGCTGCTTGGGTTTCTGTGAAGTCGGGCAAGGAGTGCCTAAGCTGTCTGCAGTCGTGTCCGAGACGCGTTGTCCCAACTCTTGGAAAAGTTTCATCGGGTGCACGACTTCTCCGCTACGGCCCGAGTCGAGTGGCTGGGGTATGGGAAATCGTTCCAGCTGTCTGGTCAACGGTGGTGGTCGGCCTGCTGGTCTTGGTTTGAGGATGAGAGGCTCGGGGACCGGGAGAATGTAGTCATGCTTTGCACTGAAGGTCGTAAATTGGCGTGGATCAGGGCCTGTAACTCGTCTTGCTGCCTGCGGATCGTGTCTCATACCCAAGCAGCATTGAGGTGGAGTGAAGAGTCCATGACTGTGAATAAACCCATGCCCTGGACCACTGCCTAGGTCTGATTGAGCAGGACTGCTTGGAAAGGGACTTTCGACTCTAGGATTATACCGTTGAACAGGGGCCGCAGGCTGCTTCCGAAAGCCGCGCAGCAGAGCAGGGTGACTTGGGAACCTAGGAGGAGGCCCGAAAGGATGTGGGTAGTTTGGAACCACGGGGTATCGACTTCCAGGTAGAACTCTGGGTTTCTTTCGATATCTTGGCAGGATGATGACCAAAATCAGACACGCCAGGACGACGAGGAAGGCAATGGCCGCGAAGATGATGGAGAAAGTCCGACCTGGACTGGTCTCACGCCGCTGCAGACGTTGGACAGTTAGTGGCGGCATATTTGATGTTTTCCGCGGTCAACAAAAGCCACGGTGGTGTTAGCGCAGCAGACTTTCGGGATATTGACATCGGAAGGGAGGCTTTGAGCCCGATCTGTGCGGAGCTGAATAAAGTCAAGGAGCGAAGAAAGTGAGCGCACTTTGAGAAAACAATGAAGCCAACTGAACATGGCAAGAACGGTCCGGCACAAAAGAGAAAATGGGCTTGCGCAGCGCTTTGGCGACCGGTGCAGGGTTGCTCTTTCCTCACAGATTCATCAAATTGTCCTTCATTTCATTTCACTAAAAGAGCAATTTCGTCACGCTCTGCTCTGTAGGGACAGAGGAGGTACAGGATAAGGCTCGGGAGCATCGAGAAGCAAATCGGAGTTGGAGATGAAGGCAGTCAACTTACATGCAGTGGTGTTCAACTGTCATAGTCCGCTCGGTCTTGCGGCTGAGCACCAAGAACCCAACCTAGCCCGCTTCCCACCATATTGGCCACCATATCTCGCTTCCGCAGCCTTCTACCATCATCTGAGGTCGGCGAACTAGCCTGCTCCCGTTGAAGGTCTTGCGAACCGGGGACGGAGCTAATTTTGAGGTCTCGCAAGCCGTTCGACCCAAGCGGAAAGGCAGCACTTTTTCGTAAGGCTGAGGCAGCGCCTCTAGCGACATCGAACAGGCCCATAGGAGCCTCTTCCTCATAAGAAGGGCCGGATCCTGTTGGCCCACTCCGCTGTGCCATTACACGCTTTGTCTCGGCTACATCTGCTTCGCGATCGTCCACGCCAAATGCTCCTGGGAGAGATGCGTCTGCTTTTGCGTCGAACGCGCGCTCTTCCTCTACAGCTTGCGTCTTCAGTCCGTCAAGCTCTTCTTCGTAACGGCGCCAGGTAGCAAGAATTCCAGAAAGTGCTTCTCCAGATGGCGCCAGCAATAATGCTCTTGAAAGGAGTTCCATACGCTGTGTCAGACTATCAATGCGAGCATTCAAACTTTTCGGGGACGCGCTGGGACGATATTTGCCGGCAGCATAGGCCGCACGCCATGATGTGTCATCGGTAAACAACGAGGCCGCAGATTGCACTGGTGAGGTGTGCAAATGTGTTGTAACATAGGCATACGCAGTGTCGAAGTCATTCATCGCAAGAGCTGCCATGATCGCTGCGTAGGTAACCCTTTGTTCGGCCAAGAGAATTCGAAGCTCAATCGGCTCGGAGTCGTCTACCATGTTTCCCCGGGTTGCAACGTGAGCACGGACGAGACTGCGTGCTATCTCCAGCAGGTCGTCCAACTTGGTGTAAGCTCTTGTATCCTGTTCAAGGACTTTCTCCAGTAGCGTCAACGGATCTTTCTGCACACGAATAGCGACAGGCTTGAAGGGGACGCCGTGTTGCAGGGTTAGCTGGTAGAACGACAGGCTGTGAGTGGCTTTAACGAGATAGTCAATCCCGGATAAAGTTGACGATTGAGGAAAATTTGGCCGAAACACCTTCAGGATATCGTTTGCACGTTTCATGCCACCACGGTCTCTGTTGCCATTACTTGCATTGTCATAGGCTTCGTAGATCGCCGCAACAATACGAGCATGGACTTCGGCAGAGGACAAAGGCGGAGATGCGCTTGTAAGATAGATTTCTTGGGCAAGGCTGTACTGAGCGGCCTTGAGGAGGGCGTCAAGAACTTGTGTCTCTAGAACATTCAGAGATAGTCGTGACAAGAAAGCTGAGCTGTCGCGGCCATCAGTCTGCTGGCTTGCGGACCAGGAATGAAGATACAATATCTGCTGCCGTACAGAACGCCAGTCGATTGCTCTTCGTGTTTGAAGTGGAATGTGTTGCAGCAGTCGGCGAAGTTCATCTTTGTGCCGTCGTTCGGAACCAAATACACAGGTGCGTGCCAAATCGTCTATCGTCCATGCCAGTCCGTATCCCGACAAAATCTTTGCAGTGCTTAGAAGCCCAGCTAATAGCAGAATCGAAGTTTCCGACGGACGCGTGAATCCGTTCGTCTCTTTCTGGAGCAAATGGTGCAGTAAATCGGTCTCATTGAAACCTTTTGTAGCGTTTTCGGGTAGTGGAATTTCCGGCTCCCCCTGCGAAAGGTCGACTTGATGGAGCCCAACGAGCTCTGCGGCCTTGCCGAGGACTTGTCCGCAGATGGCGTAAGCATCGGTTGACGTCCCCCGGCATCCATATATAATAGCTAGACCTGTCTGTGCATACCGAGCTGCCTCGTCTCCGGATTGCAAGCTTCTGCCGGGACCACTCCACTCCACGTACGCCTTCGCCGCGACATCAAACTTATTCATGCTCAAGGAAATGAGCCAATCGTACACGGGCTTCCATGATATCTCCTCAGCTGCATCCTCTTTTGGTTGATCCTCGAGTCTTCTCCTCTTCGCCCGGTTTGCGCCATTGACCCACGGGGATACCACCTGGTCCAGATCTCTTGCTAGAACAGAAGGGTTCTGCTGTGCTTCAGCATACTGTAGAAGTCTGCTGATGCCTTCAGCCCCAGAGAAGTTCTCGATGCTCTCCAAGTCAACAAGGCCATAGGCGTCAGGGTAAAACTCGTATTGCAATCGTAGGAGCGGGACAAGGTATGTTTCATACCACAGTCGCAGATCGACGTCGTCTTCGAGGAACTGCTCCACGAATTCCGCTGCTGGCTGGATAGCCCCATGAAGCTGCTCCAGACGCTTCGCCCATTCGATAATGAAGTTCGCCAGATCGCTCTGGGTATGGATAGATGTGTGCTCAGGTAGCGATCGTAGGGCTAGAATGCGACATTGTCGTGACGCCTCGCTTCGTGACAGGCTAGATATTGACGAGTCAAGGCTCGGATTTCCTGAGCTTCCTAGAGATTCTGAGGGCCCCCCAAGCGACTTCAGGAATGCCACAACCGTCGAATTCTCGGACGTTTCGGTAGGGTAGAAGGAGAGTAACAATTGATATGTCAAATCATGAGGAAGCACATCGGGCCGCCATTTGACGAGTTGAAGTAATGTGTCCAAGTCGCCTTCGGAAGTTGCTTGGACAGCATGAAGGGCGATATGAGCCTCCGATGGCTCCTCTGAGCTCTTCATACCTGGGATTTTACGCACATATCGCGGCAGGAGTCCAGCTGCGCTTTGTTGAATATGTTGACAGCGTGGAATGAGACTAAATGCGTCACCAGACTCGGGACAACTTCGGTGCGCGAGCCTCACCGGCCGTGACTTGAAGCTCAAACAACATCCACTACAACCTCAAGCAAACACCTGAACTGCGCTCTTTGCACGCCCAAATCCCACCTGCGCTCTTTGATGGTTGTGTCTCGAGGACCTTAACTATCCGAAGATGGCGTCTGGATACGGCCTAACTGGAGGTGAGTCGCAATTCCGCGAGATATTCACAGTGGTGTGCTCGTGTCACCCGCACCCAACCTGAACCCAAGCTCGATACTAATGAAGTTCTCGTCTGTAGGCGTCTCCCGGTGTTTTCCTTTCTGGCAAGAGTACATGTCTTGCTACGTTATCAATCAGAATGATCCCGAAGCCCGAGCCAAAGGCGTCTGTGCCCCACGCTTGGAGGATTACTACGAATGCCTACATCACAGAAAAGAGGTATATCCTGTTCACAGATGGAAGAATGATGCTTGGATCTAACGATGTAATAGTTTGCAAGGACGGTGGCGATTCAGAAGGCACTACAGAAGGCTGAGGCAGCAAGTCCCCGAGAGAATGCCCCTAAGCTCGGTCAGATACGAAGCCTTGGACTTATTGGCCGGGAGGAAGATTCGAAAACGTTCCTAGGAACAACACCTGGAACTTATTCCTGATGAGGGAAAGCAATAGTCAGCAGCCTGCCAGGCCAATGTGGCTTCGAGACGAAGAGGATGGGTGCCTCGACTGTACATATCACAGAAGCCCAGAAGAAGCTCGGTTACTACGGAGACTATATCAAACCCAAGCGCTTGACAGCTTCTGCCGACCGTCTTCAAGCCCACCTGATGTTCGAATTGCGAAGAAGCAACGTCTGCTAGTCTATGAAAGCCGGACTATCCGCACAAGTCCTAATGTTAGACACTCGTGCCAGCATGGTGGGATCCCCACAGGAACTTGAGATGCTTTTTAACACGATCGCTGCGACAGTGAAACTACTGACATGGCGAACTGCTCCTGCATCGCCAGTGTCGCGACTGATATTAGCGTTGTGCTGACGGAACTCGTGAACAGCTCTTTCGGAGGATGGTGTATCCAGCACTTGCGTAAGAGATCTCTCGACCACGTAACTCGCGACTCTCATATGTTAAAGCTGTAACGATCAGACGGGCCAGCATTGCAAAATCTCTTCATCGGCTTTTGGCTATGTTGGCGCTCACAAGTGATCGGAAGGCTCTCAGATGAATGAGGCACGGATGAGAAGTGCCAAGCACACGCGTAGAAGGCTTCAGTGCCCAGTCGGGCGTTAGCGCAGCCTAAGTGGTAAAGGTGGACACTCGGAAGGAGCAATCAGAGGCCAGGGGCCGATGCAGGCTGCGCAGCAAGCGAGGATTTAAATGCCATTCCAGACCCTCTTAAGCCCACGCTGCGCCCCCGATTCCAACTCTCTGATCTGCCAGTCCCCTTCTCGGACGAAGTGCAAGGCTCTGCCCGCACATTCTTTGTCACAGACACTTCATTTTCTGGTACAGAGAAATTCACCGCACCACGCGCGTCACGGCTCAATCACTCCAAGAGTGGCGCACCCTTGTTTTTAATCATTATTAATCATCATCTTCGTTTCACATCTCTTTGATCTCCACGAAAGGCTCATGACATCAAAGACTGCCACAGATCCTGCAATTGATGGCTTCTAGGTCGCGACCTAGCAGGAGCGCGGTTGAAAAGACGAAAGTTGGTGACGAATTCCCCAAGTAATAATAATGGCCACTGGGACTTCAAGGTTTGAAACGCCCGACGCGAACATCTGCCAAGCCGGGCTAACCGTTTCTGTACAGACTCGATCGACTGGTCACGTGAGTGCCACCAACTTTTCTGCTCGCTTGCATTGGCAGCAACGCCTCCATGCTCTTCAGACTAACTTGGGTCACAGCTTGCTGGACAAGGGTAGCACTCAGCTCATCCGAAATACTGCTGCACAGCAGCTCGCAGACGTTCAGAAACAGAACCCCGACAATCTCTTCGCACTACTCGGCAGGGTCCTTCCATACCTGCAGTCGAAATCATGGGATACCCGTACTGCAGCAGCAAAGGCGATAGGCGCTATTGTCGAGAACGCCGAGAAGTTTGATCCTAACGCGGACGATGTGGACACAAAGTTTGAGCAGCCCGCCAAGGTCGAGGACGGACCTCTGGAGACGGACGATCTCCTTCAGTTGAGCACCCTCGACATCAAATTGATCCTCACTCATGGTAAAAAGCTGCTGGGTAGTGCCGGCAAGGAGTATGAATACTCCATGGCCGGGATGACACCGGCTCAACGCCTTGCCCACCAGAAGCAAAGTCTCGCCGCACGACTCGGCCTTGGCGGTGAGTACATTGAGGATGATCTAGTCAACGAGCACGACTTTGCCGCCAATTCGCAACATAAGCTCGCTGCAACACCGGGGCTACCGCGCGTGGATACTAAGACGTCAATCAAGAGAAATGATAGCCTGGCTTCTCCATCTCCATACAGTGCAGTCTCCCCTTCAGAAAGCAACGGCCAGACTCTGGTTGACGAAGCCGGCCTGAGCAAACGCCAACTGAATCAACTCAAGCGTAAAAACAAGTCAGCCGCTAAAACCGGTGCAAGCAAGATGCGAGTGGTCGATCTGTCAGGACGTCGTCCGTCTGAACCTGGCCAGACTTCGGTCCCAGCGACTCCTCATCCCGTCAAGCTCAATGGTCACGAGGACTCGAACGGGGATGCGAAATCCGATTACTTCTCCATCAAACGGGAGGACTCTGACGACAACACCGCGCTTGTTACCGAGTTTAAAGGTGAGGCAGTTCCGGAGAAACCGCTCATCCAGCCCGACGATGAGCATGCCCATGACTGGCCTTTTGACGTCATGTGTGATTTCCTGTCAAACGACCTGTTCGACCCAACCTGGGAAGTTCGGCATGGGGCTGCTATGGGTCTACGAGAAGTCCTGCGTGTGCACGGACGTGGTGCCGGTCGACGCTATGGCAGATCTAGGGCGGAGAACGATCTTGCAAACCGGCGATGGCTGGACGATATGGCTTGCAGACTGCTCTCCGTCTTGATGCTCGACCGTTTCGGAGACTACGTTGCCGATACCGTGGTGGCTCCAATCCGCGAATCAATCGGCCAAAGCCTTGGGGCTTTGCTGAGCCAATTGCCTGACGACATAGCCATCTCTGTCTACAACTATCTTCAAGAGATGGTTAACCAGCGGAATACAGGTCTGAAGCAACCAATCTGGGAAGTATGTCATGGAGGGATGATTGGCCTACGATACTTCGTCGCTGTTCGAAAGGATCTCCTCTTGAGCCACAACAGCTTACTTGATGGTGTCGTTGAAGCCGTCATACAGGGACTTGCCCATCCTGACGACGATGTCAAATCAGTCAGTGCAGCGACGCTGGTGCCAATTGCCCAAGAACTCACCACTATGCGCCCCAATGCTTTGGGCCAGCTCATCAGCGTGGTGTGGGATTGTCTGCTGGATATGCAGGACGATCTAAGTGCCAGTACTGGTGCGGTCATGGACCTACTTGCAACTCTTTGCTCCCATAAAGAGATCATTGAAGCAATGCGGATTAATGCCGCGGAAGATCCCGAGCAGACTTTTGAGCGGCTTGTTCCGCGCCTTTACCCATTCTTGAGGCACACGATTACCAGTGTCCGAATGGCGGTCCTCAAGGCGTTGGTGACATTCCTAAATCTCTCAGATGTAAGCAATTCCACGTGGTTGGGTGGACTCGTGGTACGCTTAATATTCCAAAACATGCTAGTCGAGCGGAACGAAGGTGTTCTGTGGAAGTCCTTCGAGGTCTGGCAAGCTCTGCTTTCATCTATGGAACGTCAAGGATTCTCAACATTCGGTCCCAGCTTGGAGCCCCACATCTCTCCGATGATTCTCTCGGCTATCCAACCTATCGGCCAGATCCGAAGCCCTATACCTATGGACACGTCGCTTCTGATCAGGCCGAATGGCGCTCCCATGGCTCCTATCACCACCAAGCATAGGCAAAGTCCCGACTCGGAGTCCCAAGCCAAGAAACGGCGGAAAGTCGAAAAGCCAGAGCCCAAGGAGCGTCTATCTCACAATACGGACGGCCATATCCTACACGGCGAAGTAGACCTGGTTGGGTTAGAGGTCATGCTACGGACAAGGATTGTCTGTGCACGGGCCCTGGGTTTGCTACTGAGCAAACAAGGGGCGTTTGCCATTAACACTTATTGGAGCCATTTGATTCCGGTAATCAGCTCTACGCATTCGAGTTCGAGGTTATTTGCTGGCATGATTCTCGAAGAACTCGCATATCACCAACCCACGAAACCCACAAACACACCGGAATTTGTCTCCCGACTGCAACAAGCTGTCGACGACGATGGCAACAGCTGGTATGCAGACATTGTGTCCTCACTGCAGGCTGCTCGAGGTCAATGCCAAGCCTTGGTCAGCGCGTTTCAGAATCAAGCACATGTCGCCCGGGATAGACTACCAGTGATAGCTGTTGTCTGCCAAGGCGATAGCGGAGCCGGTCCTAAAGCCTTCTCATTAGCAGATGCAGAGAGAATTGTGACAGCAGATTTCGACCGGCTCCTGAAGAGTTTGACACCAGCCCAACGTGTATCCGGGACTCAGTACCTGAATGATGCTCGCGCAAATGCAAAGAGCGCTGTGGACGAGGCTAAGAAGGTGAAAGAAGCTCGCGACATCGCCGTCAAGGCTACAGTTGCGTCGGTCCTTGTCCGACTGGGTGAGGTACCAAAGAAACCCGGACAGGTGATCAAATGCATCATGGACAGCATTAAATCAGAGGCCTTCGAGGAGCTTCAGGCTCGATCAGCATCGGCTGTGGCAGGCCTAATTGACTTCTACACGAAAAGCCCGAAGCGCGGCCCTGTCGACAAATTAGTGTCGAATTTGGTCAAATTCACCTGCATCGATACCTCGGAGACCCCGGAGTTCGCCCCCCATGCCACTTTCGAAGATATTGTATTGTCGTTGAGGAAAGAAGAAGATAGGAAGGATCACCCGGATGCAGCTCGCTTTGAGCAGGAGGCGAAAGAAGCCCGAATCATGCGGCGAGGGGCTAAACGGGCTCTCGACGAGATGGCGCAAGCATATGGTGCTGAGCTTTTCAATAAGCTGCCCGTCCTGCGTTCTCTCATCGAAAATCCCATCCGTGAAACGATCGAGCCATCAGACCCAGCTTCTTTGCAAGTCGATGAGGAACAAGGTCAGTCATTGGTTGACGCGCTCTCGGCTTTACGTACGCTTGCGCCCGCTCTTCACCCTTCGCTTCACGCCTGGGTGCTGTCGCTGAGTTCCCTCACGGGTAAAGCAATGAGGAGCAGGCTGTCGGTGATTAGGTACAGTGCCGCCAAATGCTTTGCCACGATATGCAGCGTCATACCCACTGAAGGCATGACGAAAATGGTGCAGGACGTCCTGCCTAACATCAGCAATCCACTTGATTTGAGAGATCGACAAGGTATCACGGAATGCGTGTATCATCTCATTCAGGCCATGGGCGACAGGATCTTGCCGTACGTCATCTTCTTGATCGTACCTGTTCTTGGCCGAATGAGCGACGCCAATAACGATATTCGCCTACTTGCCACAACGTCATTTGCTACACTGGTCAAGCTGGTGCCTCTGGAAGCGGGGATACCTGACCCGCCAGGGATGCCGGACGCGCTGCTTCAAGGACGTGAAAGAGAGCGCAAATTTATGGCGCAAATGCTCGATCCGAAGAAGGTCGAGCCTTTCCAGATTCCCGTGGCCATCAAAGCAGAACTACGGTCGTATCAGCAAGAAGGGGTGAACTGGCTGGCCTTCCTCAACAGATACAACCTCCACGGCGTCCTTTGCGACGACATGGGACTGGGAAAGACCCTTCAGACGCTCTGCATCGTTGCCAGCGATCACCACATGCGCGCCGAAGAGTATGCCAAGACACAAGCTCCAGAGATGAAGCGTTTGCCATCTCTCATTGTCTGCCCTCCAACACTTTCTGGTCACTGGCAGCAGGAGATTAAGCAGTATGCACCCTTTTTGAGCTGTGTGGCTTATGTTGGACCGCCTGCGGAGCGAACCAGCCGCCGCTGTCAACTGGACCAGGCAGATGTTGTGATCACATCCTACGACGTGTGCCGAAACGACAATGACGTCCTCAGCGCCATAACCTGGAACTACTGCGTTCTCGACGAAGGTCATCTAATCAAGAATCCAAAAGCCAAAATCACCCAAGCGGTCAAGAAAATCGTCAGCAACCACCGACTTATTCTTTCCGGTACGCCAATCCAAAACAACGTCCTCGAGCTCTGGTCCTTATTCGACTTCCTTATGCCGGGCTTTCTCGGTACGGAGAAGGTTTTCCAGGACCGATTCGCGAAGCCGATTGCCGCAAGCAGGAACGCAAAGTCTTCTTCCAAGGAACAAGAGGCAGGGGCTCTGGCTGTCGAGGCACTTCACAAGCAAGTGCTGCCTTTCTTGCTTCGACGTTTGAAAGAGGAGGTCTTGAATGACCTCCCGCCCAAGATCCTTCAGAACTATTACTGTGATCTCAGCGATCTGCAGAAGCGGCTGTTTGAGGACTTTTTCAAGAAGGAGAAGAAGACGGTGGAGAACAGCGTCGGCTCAGGTGATAGAGAGGCTAAGCAACACATCTTCCAGGCTCTTCAATACATGCGGAAGCTCTGCAACTCCCCTGCACTTGTCGTCAAAGAAGGGAACAAACAGTACGATGCCATCCAGAAGCAGCTTGCAGCGTCGAAGTCTAGTCTGCGGGATATCGCACACGCGCCAAAGCTGGGGGCGCTGCGGGATTTGCTGGTCGACTGTGGCATCGGCGTTTCGAATGAGTCGAATGATATGTCGGCGTCGAACTACGTGTCGCAGCACCGCGCGCTGATCTTCTGTCAGATGAAAGAGATGCTCGACATGGTACAGACGGAGGTCCTCGGCAAACTTCTCCCGTCTGTACAATTTCTGCGACTTGACGGGAGCGTGGAGGCCACCAAACGCCAGAACATTGTCAACCAGTTCAACAACGACCCCAGCTATGACTGTCTACTATTGACCACCAGTGTTGGAGGTCTCGGCTTGAACCTCACAGGGGCCGACACGGTCATCTTCGTCGAACACGATTGGAATCCGCAGAAAGATATTCAGGCAATGGACCGAGCTCATCGGATCGGCCAGAAGAAGGTCGTCAACGTGTACCGTCTCATCACCCGCGGCACCTTGGAAGAGAAGATTCTCAGCCTTCAGCGATTCAAGATCGACGTGGCATCCACGGTAGTCAACCAGCAGAACGCGGGCTTGGGCAGTATGGAGACTGACCAGATCCTCGATCTGTTCAATCTAGGAGAGCCATCGGAGAGTAGCGGGGAAGGCGGCGTTACGAGGGATGAAGACATGGTTGACCTGGAAACGGGTGAGGTCAAGAAGAAAGGAGAAAAGGGATGGCTTGACGATGTCGGCGACCTGTGGGATGAGCGGCAATACGAAGAGGAGTTCAATCTAGACTCGTTTGTGCAGAACCTGCAAAAATAGAGCCGGGCACGACTGAGACCGACTTTTGACGTGTTGTCGTCGACCTGGAGACGGGGAAATCCAGTACGCAAATCAAACTCGGAGAAGCGGCATTGGATCGATGCCTTGCGATATTCTTAGAAGGCTGTGACTTCGAGCAATTGGGAGCTGGAGGCCACATCACTGGGGAGGCAGGTGCTACAATTGGGGGAACACCATGCGCTGCACCGCGGAAAGGAATACATTGCATACACAGGATTCTGGGGCAAATCACTCAGCCGAACAAGCTTTTTTTTCTCTCGGAGAAAGGAAGGAACGACGTGCTGACGTGAATGCAATCCCCGGTGCGCACGCACAGCAGCAGCTCCTTTGACAAACACACCGTGATCACCATGGGAGGCTGGAACTGCTGCCAAAAATGGACATAGGCATCTGGGATGAGCACGCGGACGAAAAAGAAAATTGCCCGCTCCCCGCTTACTCGAGCGGGATAGAGCCTTGTTGGTCGGGCCAGGGTATCATGCAATGTACGGAGTACAGTAGGCGCAGAAAAAGCTTCAATGTTGCGCGTATTTTTATGTCGTCCAGAGGATGGTGACAAGCGATCGAGCAGGCGCGTGATCCCTCAGGCAAGAGTCCAGGGGGGAACAAAAGGGCGTGTCGCAGCCTCGCCTCTTTTAGGACGGTCTGGCCCCAATGGCGGCGACTGTCGCGCGTTTATCTCCGCTGCCTTTGTTGGGATCAAAAAGGTATACCTACAAGCTCCGACTAGAGGATCAGATCGAGCAGGTGGTTGGTCTTGGCGTTGGATCGCAACGTGCTCGCCAGGAAATGGAGACTCCCCGGAAGACGGCCGGTCTGGTCTGGGAGCCTACGAGGTACGAGGTACACAGTAATTACTGGCTGGTCGATAGGCCGCGACCGGGGTTCGTGTGGAGTGCGGTGAGTGGATGTGGATGTGGATGTGGGCGATGTGACCGTCGTGGTCAGGATCGTCTCCGAGGTCCGAAGTACAGTAACTGGTACTCCTATGACTACTGGCTACACAGGACAATATCCTGACGCTTCTGGGGGGGTTCGCGCGCGAGAGGCGTTGCAACAGTTCACTAGGTACGGAGTGATCATTCCAGCACAGAACCCTTCAGCAGAACGGCTTTCCTGATAGGGACGAGGTTTCGAGCTCTCGAGGCGACTGTGCTGATGTCGTTCGCAACCGCGGTCTATTGGTCTGCTCTTACCTAGCTGTTTGTTGTTGTGGGACGGTGGTGAGAAAGGATGAAGTAAGTACTTAGTATCGTACGGAGTTCACAGAGGTCGAGTGCAGTTGTCGGTTATCGAGCTCGGTCTTTCGAGACTTCTATTGACCGGTCAGAATCCAGATAAGCACTAGAGAAGAGTGCTGGTCTACATAGCTCGAATATACAGTAATGATCGCTACGTAGGCAAATTGAAAATTACAATGGGGTAGGGGGTTGTGGCGGGAAAGCAGAATGTCCGTCAATTTACTGCGTCCGAGGAGACGAGGGACTCTGGTGAAGCGTGGCAAGAGATGCGCCCAACATACTGCAGTGTATACGAGGTTCCGGTTCAGTGCCAGCGCTGAGCAGCACCGAGATAGGTAGTAGCTGGCGGGTGTCTTGCCTGCCTGGGGTTAACGAGATCTCTCTGGGCACGAGACAACACTCAGGGAACGGGTACCTAGCTTTACCCTCCCAACGGACTATGTGCGGCACCACACGCAGGAACCCTGGTGGATACTCAAGCATTTCTGGGAATTTGAGAAACCAGGAATGGCACGGTGCCTGGCCGACCGATCTGCGGGGTGCAAAGTAATTGGCCGGTGTGGTCGCAGCCTGCGGTCAGCATACGTACTGAGTAGTACCCAGGACTGTGTAGCCAGGACATAGTAGTCCCCCAGCAGAAGCCCAGCATTGGCGGTGGTGGTGGCAGGCACATCACCTTTCCTCAGTCACGTGCCGTGGATTTGGGCTAGCCAATGGCTATACATAAGCCGGACGACGCACTTACCGCTTACGGCTAGCGTACGAAATAAGCCCACGCTGACCAAATATCGACGCGAAAAATAGAACATTCGAACTTTCCAGCTTGTCACTTGTGTGTCATCGGCTGCTCATCGCCTCCACCAATTTGGCTCACCACTTGCCCGCCTCGCTCGCTGACGATGACTTTCCGAGGTAATTGCCGTCTTCCTCTTTCACAAGTCCGGAGTACCCAGTACCCATCCCGCGTGGCCCTGACCTCGGTACTCGCGTGGCGTCCACCACACACACACACACACACACAGATGAGCAGCCCAATATGTGAGCACTAAGCCGCATGCGGCTGTATCTCAGGCCCGAATCCGCTCGAGACCATGACCCGAGAATAGCGCACAGCGATGGCTGTTCCTCGACACACTGCCGGCCCGCTATCCTCGTTACGGCGCTCTGTTCTTGCCCGTCCTTTGATTGCACCAGAATCCTTACTACACAGTGCACACAGGACGGAGCACAGATGGAATGTCGGACTCGGTGACCCTGCGCCGCTCGTCGCCTCTCTCCACAGTAAGCAAGCAATCACCAGGCACCGGTACACCTGAATCCTTCCCAGCGGTGCTGTGTATAGTACTGTGTACACACTCAGTCACTCATTCACTGCCTCACGCACATACATATATGCCTCTGTCCCTCTCCTTTCTCAGCAGTCGTTTCTCTCATTCACATCGCAAACCAGCAACAGTCCAAACAATCTTTCGTTAGTCTCGTCTAATTTCTCCTTGCTTCTTTCTTTTACCGTCATCGCACGCTCTTTAGCAACACGAACTACAGACAACCGATAACGCTAAACCTAATCCAACGATCTTTATAATCCACAAACCCAACATCAAAATGCATTCCACCTCGCTTCTCGTGGCTGCCTTCGCCGCCGTCGCCGCCGCCACTCCCATGGCACCCAGCCAAACCTGGGCGACCAGCTACGGCTCCGGCAAGCCCACTGGCACCAGTGGCTCCTCCACGTCCCTGGTGACCGGCCTGCTCGGCAACCCGGATGCCACGCCAAACCCCAAGCCTACGGACGGCACCATCGCCAAGCTCCTGACCGAAGACACCCGCGTCGACCGCTTCACCGAGATCCAGGCCGAGATCGCGGCTGGCAACTTCAACCTCAAGTTCGACTTCAACCCCAACGCCAACCCGCCCAACCCGGCGGCGCTCCCGCTCGGTGGCCAGGTCGACCTCGCCAACCGCAAGAACTTCCCCCTCCTGACGGGCCTGGGCATCTCCGCGGCCGGTATCTTCTTCGAGCCCTGCGGCCTGAACACCCCGCACATCCACCCGGACGCGACTGAGTTCTTCACCGTCGTCACCGACAACACCATCTTCACCGGCTTCGTGCTCGAGAACGGCTTCACCACCGAGCAGAGCACCAACCTCACGCTCTTCCAGGGTACCGCCTTCCCTATGGGCAGCATCCACTGGCAGCAGAACTTGGACTGCAAGCCCGCGGTCGCCATCGCCGGCCTGAACTCCGAGGACCCCGGTGCCAGCTCCATCGCCCAGAACTTCCTCATCAACACCAACCCCGCCATTGTCGACGCCGCCCTTGGCTTCCCCAAGCAGATCGACCAGAACAACTTCGCCGACTTCCGCGCCAACATCCCCGTCTCGCTGGCCCGTGGTGTCGAGGAGTGCCTGATCCGCTGCGGTCTCAAGTACTAAGCGCCGAGTTTGTATCCCTGATGAGTCCCGGTGCGTGAAGCGGTGAGGGGGACGGTGAAGGTGAGAGTTGAGGGAATCATGGGACTTTTCGACATGAGACATGCGACATCTATGCATTGGGAAAATGGTTAGGTAATTCGCCGGGAGACTATCGGTATTGGAGTTTTTGTAAGCATAATCAGCCAGGGGTGGTCTTTCTGCGCGGCCTTTTGGCAGCAAGGATTGTCAAACCACGGCATATAGATAGCACCATAAAATTTTGTTGGGAATCGTCCTCTCCTTTTGATTCCAACGAGACCACACTGCTCGATTGTCTATACGGAGCTTAATAGAAATGATTTGAGTTCGAGCTGGATAGCAGTCGTGGTATCCTTCGACCGCTGAGCCTCGACACAACAGTGGACGCTGGGTCCTGAGTCTTGTGTTAGTGCATTGAAGGGGAAGAGGCCGGCCTACCCAGTGCCGTCCAACGGTCACGGCATTCTTTTCCTTTTCCTGTCGTCTCGCCCTGGACCGATCGATGAGAAGGAGGCGAGATATATCGCCATGGACACTACGGACGCAGCGACCCCCCCCCCCCCGGGGTTCCCAGTCCGTACTTCGGGGGCATGAGTGGGAGCGTTCGGTGGAACGATGCGCCATGTCAAGAGAGGGGTGTCATGTCCTCATAGACAAAGCAGACTGATCAACGAAACGCGAGTGACACAATCGAAGCCACACCTCACACTCCTCCTTCATACAGAAACAAACCGGGTTCGTGTTGTAAACAACTAATTACCTGCGATAGTGTTGAGAGCACCGGGTACAAGCTCGGTAGCATCGAACGTCCTAAGCTGGTTCCACTGCCCCTGCTGCATCTAAGAGACTTTAATGTATTTTCCAGCCGGGTTTCCCAGACGCGAACCTCTATTTGCCTGGTCCGGCGTGGACGGCGAACGCGTCGTGTCTCGCAAAGAATGCCGTTGGTAAAATTCAGTCACAAGATGCCGTCTGAAGACAATGTTCGATAGTTTCTGAGAAGCAGGAGACTGTTTGCAGGCTGAAGTTAAGCGAGCTTATGACGGGCAGGTCGAGAGGAGTTCGCACGTCGATTGATTTAATTGCAGTATTTCCACACGACGTTCGCCAAGTCGCAGGTGGCGCTTACCTAACCTGCAAGGCCGCATACGGAAGGTGCGCCTACACTTGAACCGGAAGGAGTATTCGCGAAGCCCTAGCACGTGCCCCGTTAGGGTGGCTCGGGTGCGAGGGGCGCCCGTAGCATGAAGCTCGGCTGCACAAATGCGACGCCATGCCCCGCGGAGCGACATGCACCCCTTTCACTAACAAGTGACACGACCGTGATTATCTGGTATCTGAGAGATGACCATTTGATCTCCGGCTGAGCGTGAAATTTAAAGTGAAATTGAAATATCGAAGAGTGCTGTGGGGGCGACCAGCTCATAGAGGCATCGCTATCCGACTTTGTGTGTATATAGAAGTGTATCTTACGTCTGAGCGTCAAGTGCAGACTGAACTGTAGGAATTAGCCATTCGACCTCCCAAGCACTGCGCATCGTCAACCCCATAGTCACACTGCGCTTGGTAACCTGGAACCGTACTCCGTACATCAGCACGCCCTTGAGCGACCAGACAGCAAGCACAGTCACCATGTCAGTTCCAGGTATGCAAAGGCCTACACATCGACTGTGTCTGAGCTGACCTTCATCTAGTAGGAATCACAGTACCGAAAATTCTCCCCGTGACGGGCACATTTCTACCAGGTAAGTTTTCTCTCGAGAAGCCTGCAAGCCAATACAGGAGTCTGGCTGATATGCGGTGCAAGCATTCGCGGCATACTATGTTCTGCTCAACCTCCGCGTCAGCCTTTCGCGTGTGGCGACCGATACGATGATTGGCACCGACACCTCGAAGAAAGCGTCTTCGGACTCGAAGCCCAAGAGCAGCCAGTCGGACGGCCATGCCCTGCTGGTGAACGCGCGATGCCATGGGAATTTCATCGAGAACGTCCCACTCGCCCTGCTGGTCGCATCCATCGTCGAGATGAATGGGGGAGACAGACAGGTGTTAACGGGGTCGCTGGCTGCACTGCTCTTCTTCCGAATCGCCCATGTCGAGCTCGGCTTGAAAGCAGAGCGTGCGCTGGGTTGGGGACGGTCAGTGGGATACTTTGGTACATTGTCCTGGGTTCTTGGTATGAGCACGTACGCGGCGTGGTTGGTGAAGAGTTACTGGGGCTTGTAGGAAAGCGATTTCGTCCGCAATGGGGTTTCGCACATCAATAATTATCCTGAGTCGCGACTGGCGAGGAGTCTGGTCAAAGCGAAGGCGCAGGGATGATTCGCATTGAAAATCAAGGAAGCGGCATCTCTTGGAGCCTGTGCTCGCAGCGAATGACCCGTTCTTCACTTGACCCTCAGTTTTCTCTCCGCGGCATCGTTGAGCCACAAGAACATTCCTTTGAGCCGCATCACTTTCGTTTCATGGCCTACCCGCAATACACCGGGGCTCCCGGACGGACTCTATCCAATTCCGACACATCAGCATTGTCATTCCAGACCATCTTCAGCGCGATCACCCCTCCGCCGCTCCCGCCCCCGCCTCCTAGCCCGCCTCCCAAGGTCGAGCCGAAGCAGGCATTGCACACGTTCCTTTGCACGGTTTGCTGGACGGAACAGAAATCGCAACCGCATACTTTTGGGCTCGAAGGCCGCATTGTCTGCGAGGATTGCTGGAACTGGATATATAGCGTCAGCATCTGCTGGCGGTGTGGAGAGGTCGTCTTTCGCAAAACAGATGCCGTAAACTTCGGGTGGTGTTAGTGGCATTGGAGTTGCTTCTCATGTCTCATCTGTGCGGTATGGATATCTTCTCATGGATACGTGAACGCTGGCTGACCACTGCAAAGTCTCCCTTGCAGCCACCACCCTACTTCACCCACGATGGGGAGCCACACAAACAAGGCATGTTTGCTGAGGAACCGCCAGTGTGTCCCCGTTGCGCCAATGAGCCTGGATCAGTGGCAAAGCTTGAGCAACACGTCAGAACACCCAGCAGGACGTCGGGAGGCGCAAGAACTCCTAGGGGACTATTGGACGGAACTTCCGAGAGAGTGTCAATGACAAACCCTTTGAATCCAGACGCCAACAAGATTGGGAGGTCAGGAAAGGGGCAGAGAATGCCTCCTGCATGGATGAGCTTGCTGCCTTCCAACCGATCTTCCATGTCAAGTCCGCCGGAGAGGCCGTGCCCTCCGACCGAGATGGTCCCTTCAGCCAGGCAAGGCAAACCACCTACCACGCCCTGTATTACGCCACCACAGTCACCCAAAGCCCGACTCAAAGACCCTTTGCAAAGAACTCCACCGTCAGTATCTCTCAACGACATGGCAATTCGTACGCCACAGTCCTCGCCAGGTTCAACCATGAGGCACCAAATGCACACAATTGAGGACACTTCCGTACCCTCGGCAGACCATGAAGGGCTTGACATTCCAGCCTCGAGACAGTCCAGCGTCTCCCAGTCTCAGAAGTCGTTGACCCGGGCGTCCAGTGGCTCGAAAGCATCCCAACCAGGCGCTATCAACCGGGTACGGAGGAGCTTCTCGATTTCCAGAGGGATCAACAATCTAAGAAGGTCTTCGACCACCAAAGCTGTCGCAGCTTCTTCGGACTCACGCGATACTCCAGATTCGCGCACATCAACGCCTGCGCACGACAGTGCGCGTGACCCTTCGCCTGCGAAGTCTGCCTTTCTCAAAGAGCTCTCGGATTTCTTCATTCCACGTGCAAGGAAGGGAAAAATGATACTGCCGAGCCGGGTTGGCAGCGGGCACGGTAGCGCCAAGATCCATGAAGGTGCACCAAGCACGCCTGGTAGAGGTGAATTAGAGACATCTTGCGGGAGGTGTGGAGTGGACACGTCAGATTGGTGGGTAGGGAGGGAGGCCATTGTCCACAGCCATGATGACCATGGCGGGCATGGCTATCGGATTTGCGAGTCCTGTAAAGCCGCCGAAACATTGCCTGGGACGATGCCCGGTGGTTGGGACTAGTTGCTGTTGACGAGTGCGTTGTCCCATATCCTTCCGGTATTGATAAGACACCAAATGCCTGGGAATATCCAGAAATATAGTCATGCTTTCATTGCGGCTGACAGACCATCCTTCCACTCCTGCCGCGGGTCAAGCGGTTGAGAGGTACCTGAGTTTTGTTTCCCCATTCCTCCTTTGCCAACGACAGATGATCTAGGCGCCGTTTTGTGGTCTCCGCTCATTACACGGCATACACCACGGGGCTATATCATAAGCCGATCCATGCGGCCCAACCACCAATCCTCGGATTCTGGCAAATATGCCGGGGGCTCCTCGAAGCGCCTGATTTCGCTGCGAATGCGCCGCAGCCCAATCCACGTCTGCCGGTGTTGGTAATTCCGCATCTTGTGCCCTGTTGTGAGAATGGTCGTGTCTCCCTGCTTTCTGACTTCCCAGAACATGGTGTCGACGTTGATGAACGACGGGATGGCCGCGATGGAAAGGAGTTGCAGCGAGGGGCATTCGTTGCGCAAGTGCTCGAAGATCCTCACCGCTTGGTAGTCGGCCACGGGAAGGCGATGGCACAGGCTTCGCCGGTCGTGCGGAGAGCCTCGGGCCACAAAGGGCGGGAACAGGCGGAGAAACTTGAGACGGCGGAACTTGGAGATTGCATTGAGAAAGGCATACTGTCCGACATCGACGTCCACGCCCGGCACCGCGACCGACTGCCACAGGTTCTCGATGTAACCGACGTCGAGCTCCAGGTGTTCGAGGTCCGGGCAGAGCTGGGCGGCGAGCAGAATGTCCCGGTGGCATCGTTGGCTCTCGACGCTGTGCACGGAAAACAAGGTGTCCTCGCGGTGTAGGCGGAGGCACCGCAGGCTGGGCCCTACCAGCTGAGAAATGGCGATGTGATTGCATATTCCGTCGATTGCCAGCTCTTCGAGGCGGGGGACCTTGTCATAATCTATTGTCAAGAGGTAGGCATCCGGGGGGTCGTCGAATATCCTGCCGGGAGGCGCTTCGTACGGACACGCCGGGTGATACCTCCGCTGCTGGTACGCGCGTAGGTGCAGAGCACGAAGATTGAGGAGTTGGTGAAGGTTCGAATGTAGAAAGTCGCCCATGGGTACGCTGTATCGCCAGTCGATAGAGAGTCGCTGGAGGTTTGTCCATGGGATTAGCGACATGTCCAGGTCGGACAGCGAATGGCGCGGAGTTCCGCTTGCACGCTCGACGACGAGTCCCAACTCGGTGCAGGAGAGTGGCCTTTTGAATTGCGGTCTCGCAGAGGCGTCTTCGGCGTCCTCTTCCTGAGCGGTCCCGTCCCTCAACAGCCATGCAATGTGTAGTTTCAGCGCTGCGGCATCTGAGATGATGTCAAAGGTCGCCTGAGTCGGCCCGGGATACCTGAACGGGGGCGCACCGAACGCTCCCAGTCCAAGACGATGGTGATGAGCAGTCGAACAAACCTCGGTGGTGGCTTGCATCAGATCCGGCCAGGGCCATGATGTGCACAAACGGTCGAGAATGACCTCGTACTGTTTGCCCTCGGGCAGCATCTCGAGAATCCGTTCGGCGCATTCAGGAGAACAGTCTAATCTAAATATCATGATTAGCACTCATTCCTCCGCCCGGTGAAGAGCCCCGGTGTCATGGCCGTTCAACCAGCCCGTCAGCCACACCGCTTTTTTGTGGATGCGTACCTAATGCGACGGAGTCGATGCATCAGCGGCAAGCTCTCGCGTAACAGCTGGAAGTCGTAGGCTTGGTACTCGTGGCGGATATCTTCCGCAGCTACAGAGTGATGCAGCAGGAGATCATACTGGATCTCTGGTGGCTGCGTACTTCGAACCCGGTGCATCATCACATCCTCCTGATGTTCCACCGGTGCGAGCACGTGCAAGGTGTGGGCATACTCGACGAGGCCCGGTCTTGTAGCGAGGCGACGGAGCAGTCCGTGCTCGCCATGACGCAGTTGATCGCGGATAACGTGCGAGACAGTGCCGAACAGGTATGGCAGTGTCGACTTTCTGAAATGTTTGGAGACCAGGGAAAAGGCAAACAGTGAGTCAGGCTGGCGGTAGCTGCCCTCGCAGAGAATGCCTGCGATCCCGTCCAGGACTTCGGATGGAAGTTGAGGGTGAGTCGCGTGCTCGCTCGTTGATAGTGGCAGCTTCATGGTTTTGAGCGCCAACATGGTCGATGCCGCGCGCGAGGCGTTCACAAGATCGTTGGGTAAGCTGGACAGAATGAGCTACAACCTCCTATTGATGGCAAGGGGGAGGGGGGAGGTTGGCCTGAGCTGAATGAGAAACCGTGCCTCGTACCGCCCGCCGCTGAAGTCACCATGTGCGCCACAGAGGAGAGGGGCTCTCGTCGGATCATCATTGCTCCGTCCCGCGGTCTGTCACAGGGGGTTTTGCTACACCAGCTATCCGCGAGAGGTCAAGGGAGATCCAGAGGGGGACGTGGTCACTATGCCCTCTTTCTTGAGCAGAGTCGCAGATGTCAGTCGCTGTGACCGCGTCCATGTCGTCGACCAGAGCTCGACTCACGACGATGAGGTCCACGCGGTCACAACTTTCTCCCCAGGACCTTCCCCGTGGATGGTAGGTGAACTTCTTGGTATCTCCATGGATATGCCTGAAAACATCAATGCCGCGCATGCCCTTGTCGTCCGTGAAGAATTTGGAATTGAAGTCTGCACGGTTCTTGACGTGTTGAAGAGGCGACGTTCGGAGATTCGGGTGACCATCAATTCGAGCTCGGGCGATGTTCATGTCGCCCATCAAAACAACCTGGTGTCCATCCCTCTCAAGCTGAAGCGCTTCATCCAACATGTGGTGATGAAATCGCAGCTTATGATCATGTCGCGTGCCGGTTACTGCGCCGGTGGCAGGATCTCGATATGGATTCGACGTCCCGTTGACCCAGTACCCGTTTATTATGACAAGCCCTGTCTCGTGTTCGTGAATTAACACCCGGCCTTCAAGGTCCCAGTCAGGTTTCCGTGTCACGCGAATACTGGTGGCGAAGTCGTCCCGGATCAAAGACGCAACGCCGTGGACTTTTCCTCCAAACCCAGTAGCATTATACTTGTCTCTCGGCAAGGAGGAGTGAACACTGTAGGTGGGCTCCTCGGCGGCACTCCCCTGGTTAGCGGCCAGCTGCAGCTGTCTTTGAACCGCAGTGTCTTTGGAGCTGATTTTGACTTCCTGCAAGCACAGTATCTCCGGCCACTGATGCCGTTTGAGAAAGGACCTCAGCGGTGACAGAGACCCTGGCTCAAAAGACAGACGTTTCTGCAGCAGTGGCCCGATGCCATTGACATTCCAGCTGAACAGGCGGACTTGGCCTGACCATGTGTTCGGCACGTGTTGCCACACTGTCGCACGGGAGAGCTTTCTCCTCAAGGCAGGAGGCGAAATCGACCTGTCTGTGCTACTCAAAGATCTTTTCGACACGGGGGGCATTATGCGGAGTTGGCCGGCGCTTTCTTATCCAAGTCGTGTCATCACACTTGTTGTATGAAAATGGAGTAGCGCTCGCTGTACGGTGGAAGGCCAGGCTGCTAAGCATTGAGCGCAGGACGGCGACGTCAGTTAGGAGTAAGGACCTCGTAGTTCGCTGAGCCGATAGGCTTGCTCCGCTTGACTCTAGGCGTTCCTCAAACGGATTTTGGGCGTCGCTGAGCGCGGACCGAGCCGCAAAAGAGGAGCTGGTCCCCTGGGCGCGACAAAGTTAAGTGGTTGGCTTCGGGGCTTCGGGCTTCAGGCCAGCCAGTCACCCTCTGGCTGTGCTCCTCCAGGGGGCACTGGACGCCGAATGTTAAGCTCTGGCGGTTGGTCGCTAAGGGCGTTACGGGTCTCAGCAGTCCGGAATAGGCAGTTGAGCGGCCTGCAGCAACGCTCCGAATCGCGTGTTCCCTTCGTTTTAGCCTCTCCCCCCAGGAGGATCGGCGCACGTTGGTGGAGGTGATAGACACGGTCGGAGGTGAATAGGAGATGAGGCGCGCCTCGATCGAACTGATATGACCATAATTTCTCCCATACCTACGGATAACCGCTGCCAACACCTCTTCGCTGACAGTCGTCCTCCAGGCGCACGGCTTACTCTGCACATACAAGAAAAACGCGTCCGTGTTCCTGACGTGAGCTTTCTGAGGCCGACATTGTGAGCGTGCGAGACTGCAAGCACTGCTCGCCGTTATCAAAGGACCTCGAAGCTATCGCACGAACGGACTTGAGCACTTGATAGATGCCGTATCAGTCGACCCTCCCGATTTGTCTCAAACTGATTTGAAGTGAGCTCGCTCCAGATTGCGCTCTAGTTCCATGGCTAATGATTCCCCAGTCTCTTGCGACACAAAGCCTCTCGATAACCTTTACCAGCCATGGCTCCCCAGCCAGAGCTCTACCCTGCCCTACATCGAGTGCGCGACGTCGAGAGCGCAGGGATCCAAGACCTCCAGCAGATCATCCAGACCTTCCCTGTGATTGACAATCATGCTCACAACATGCTCACCGAGGACCATGCATATGGCAGCACAGAACATCCATTCGAGTCCATCACCTCCGAAGCACAAGGCGCTGCGCTGACCGATCATGTCCACACAAGCCTTGCCCACATGCGCGGTGTCAAACACCTGGCAGAATTTTATCAGTGCCCCGAGACCCTCCAGGACGTCAAGGCCGCGCGGTACGAATGGGTGCGGCGGGACTACCCTGGCCTGATCAAGAAGTGCTTTGAGGGCACACACGCAATCATGATGGATGACGGCCTTTCGCCCGAGCTCATTCACTCCTTCAAGTGGCACCGGCAGTTTGTGCCCACCGTGTCAAGAATCGTCAGAATCGAGGCGGTGGCCGCGGAATTGCTTGAACATCTGGCTCATGCAGCGGGCTTCATGAGGGTTGGCCTCGATGCCGACTGGGACATCAGCCAGACAGAGAGCTTCCTGGTCCGCTTCAACACGGTCTTCCGGAACCAGGTGCGCACGCTGGCCAACGACCCAGATGTGCGTGGCTTCAAGTCGGTCGTCTGCTATCGTTCCGGCCTTGATATCAGCCTCGAGAGCAGGAAGAACTTCCGCCCGCACCAGTCTCTAACCGAGTCAACTCTGTTACAATCATTCCACAGCTTTCTGCAGAAGGCGGTTCGTGACCACAAATACCGCATTCAGCAGAAAGAAGTCAACGACTACCTGGTCGTGGCCGTGTGTGACGTGCTTGAGAAGCTGGTGGACACCGAGGGTGAATCACTGCCGTTCCAGTTTCACACCGGACTGGGAGATACCGACATCAACCTGGTCAAGGCCAATCCGGCATATATGCAGCCTCTGATCGAAGCTTTTCCTCAAGTCGACTTTGTCATACTGCACTCTTCATATCCTTACACAAGGGAGGCTGGCTACCTCGCGGCTAATTACTCCAACGCGTGGCTAGATATTGGCGAAGCGTTTCCAATGCTTTCGAGGGATGGCGAAGAGGCCATCTTGCGCCAGGCTCTTGAACTGACGCCAAGTTCCAAGATTCTATGGAGCACGGATGGCCATTTCTTCCCTGAGACGTATTGGCTTGCCAACAGGCACTTCCGAGAAGCCTTGGAGAGGCTTCTGACGTCTTATATCGCCGCAGGTGACCTCACCGTCGCCCAAGCCATTGACATGGCTGTCGATATCATGTTCTGGAACTCAAACTCGCTTTACAAGCTCGACGAGGAGCGCAAGTACCCGGAGCTTCTTCGAGCGTGCGGCAGAGAGGCCGTCGACAGCATGCGCACCCTTGTCAACGGCGGTTCAAAGGCTCCTTCTTTCAGGTCTTATGCGAGCACGGCAGTCGCTATACCTGGAGCATCGTCGGCCCGAGCTGGGCCGTCTCTCTCTACTGCCACTCTTCCAATGGCGAGCCATTCTCTGCCTCTTCGTATGGGCAGTGCAAGTGCTCCATCGGGGCAAAGCTCCACCGCCCTTCTCGCTCAGAACGTCACGACTTTCGACACATTCCTCCAGGCGAACGCAGGTGTCAAGTATATCTGGGTCCAATATCTTGATTACACCGGTACTTTGCGGAATCGGATGCTCACGACGCAGCAATTCCGGAAGCAGTTGTCGACCGGCAGGGCGCTGGCGTGCACATCCGCTCTAACCCGGTTATTGCAGGATGACAACCCTGCGACCGGGTGCTGCGCAACAGGACAATTCCTGCTGGCTCCAGATCTCTCAACACTCACACTCAACAAAGGAATCGACTCACCATCCGCCACTGTGCAGACCTGGTGGATGGCGGACTCGGAGCAGGTTCCTCTGGTCGAGCACTGGGATCGCTGTCCGCGCTGGCTGCTTCAATCTCAATGCGATGCGCTCAAGTCGGAATTCAACATCTCGATGCTGATGGGGTTCGAACTAGAAATCATTTTTATGCAGCCTGTCATGAACGAGAACAAAACGGACTTTGTCGAGTTCGAACCCTTACACATGGTCCATTCTTGGGCGAACATGACGTGGCAGCAGCTGGACATGCTTCCGATTATTGAGGAAATTGTCAGCCACCTGGCGGAAATTGACATCCATTTACCTCAGTTCCACTCTGAAGCTGCCCCTGGCCAGTGGGAATTCCCGCTGCCTCCTCTTGAACCGGTACAGGCCGTGGACGCACTCTGCAAGACGAAGGATGTGATCCGAAATGTGGCCAAGAAACATGGCCTCAAAGCAACCTGCTATCCTCGCCCTTACTCATTCACGTGTGGCAGCGCGAATCACGCCCATTTCAGCATCAACGGGCCCGGTGATACGGTCGAGAAGTACGAAGCTCCGTTCCTCGCTGGCGTTCTAGAACATCTCCCCGCCTTACTCGCCTTCATGCTGCCCGTCGAAGAATCCTACCAGCGCGTCCATGCCGGGATTTGGGCCGGAGGTGAATATGTATGCTGGGGCACGCAGAATAAAGAAGTCCCGCTACGGAAATGTGGGCCGGGGCATTTTGAGCTCAAAACCATCGACGGGATGGGCAACTCTTATCTATCCATGGCAGCTCTGCTCGCGGCAGGCCTTCACGGCCTGAGACAAGACCTCAAGCTGGAACACAAAGACTGCGCGGGTGATCCGACAGGCATCGGCGAGGAGGAGAGGCAGAAACTCGGCATCACGACGCAGCTGCCGAACACGCTGGAAAAGAGTCTCAAAGCCCTTGATAGAGACAAGGTCTTGAGACGAGGACTCGGGTATGCAGTCGTTGACGACTACCTGGCTGTTGGGGAGAGTCTAATGGCGAAGCTCCGAGGGTTCGGCGATGTGAAGAGACGGCTTTGGCTGATGGCGCGCTACTAAGGCTACCGTGTCATGTTCTGATGGGTGCACGGCTGGCGGTTCTCGGGACGGATCTGGGAGATGACAAATGCGCGAGAAGAGAACACCAGGAACCGTGTCTCGCAGTGTTACGGAATACAGGAGGCAGTTTAGGTGCCCTTTCGGCAGGCCCATGTGCTGGTGTCGTGGAGGAATTTCCAAATGGGATCTGTTTGGAGAAGGGCCCAAGCGTCGGTGTACACAGTTAATGTACGTGTTTTCGCTCTGCTCCCGCGCCGCTCAAGTATTGTTCCACGCGCCCTATCACATTGTAAGGCCTATCACCTTTCGAGCGCCGTTGGGGAAATTCACAGGCAGGGAGGTGCCTGGGCACATGGGCCGATTCTCTTAGTCGGTACTCGCTGCAGACGAATTTCTCCTGAACATGCGGGATCAGTTGAGTTGAGTTGAGTTGACTGAACCCGACCGTCACTCGTTCGCATCGGTCGATCAAGCATCAGTAGCCAGTAGAAGAATGCTACGTGCCCCTGAATGTTCAGCGTACCGTTGTCCTCTTGCTCCACCGGATAACAGCACCTGCTGTATCTGTAGTTAACCCTATATTTATTGGCAGGAGATTGACTTGTCGCTTCACGCCGCATGTTTGAGGCAGAATCAACGCAATGCATGTGTCGCGGTCGACATTACTCACGATGGATTGAGAGGCAACACTCTGGGGCGCACAATGGCGCCGCCTACAGAAGCCGCCGCCACCTCGAGCGCTGCCTCGACGCCTACTCCTTCCCCAGGGCCGTCCCCGATCCCTCCGCCGATTCCTGTCGAGACTCACCCAAACCGAGGGAAGCCGCAGGCGAATAGAGTCACCCCCGACCCTCGTCGGCTTGCTCCAGAAGATGCATACAAGACTTTCTCTCCGCCGCGACTGCGGCCGGTGCCTGAGATTGGCGGTTCCGCTGCAGCAAACGCTGCCGCTGCCGCGCTTCGGCCTGCTGTGGCCTCTCTTCGAGCACCTCCCGCCATCCCTCCTGTGGCTGCGCGCTTGGCCGAGGAAAGACGAAGAGCCGCAAGCAAGAGGCGAAAGCAACCGCATGTCTGGAAGAAGCTGTTGTGGATCAAACAGCACGGGTTCCCCGACAATTACACCGACACTGAGACCTTCCTCGATCA